GATTGAGAACACAACAAATACGCTGCTGGCAGTGGTAAGGACACACATCTGTAAAATGTTTGTGTTCAAATAGACACCTGAAAGGTATGTACTAAAATATGTACCATGCGTACAACGCTTGGGAAATGGGAACATCCTGTGAAATTATGGGCGGCAGTCAACATGTTCAAATGTTTATGCATTTTGATTTTATCAGGAGTGATTCCCTTTGGAGGTGCTTGTTCCTTTGAGGATGGTTGGTGTGGCTGGCACAACGTGATCCAAGGTGACGATTTCAACTGGACCAGACACAATGGTAGCACGCGCACCTCCAACACCGGGCCGAGCTTTGATCACACTCTGGGTACCAGTCAAGGTGAGACCTGGTAACATCAGACAAGTCCAAGCAGAATCTGTGTCTTGGATTCATGACACCCTTTATTCATGATTAAAAGTCCCCTGTGAGAAATCTGAATTTTAAACTGGTAAGCAAAAATGGAATGTGCTTTCCCAGCTCCCTTGTATATTTCTACTAATTTTGCCATTTGAACAGTAAACAGTTGATATCAATGACCTTTTGCAAAATAAGAATGCAGAAGCTTTCCAAATTGCTCACTGATTTGTAGAAATGTTTTGCTCTTTCAAAGAGCTGAGTCTCTTTAGAGTTATTTTCAGGACCATGCTTTTTTTTATCAGGAGGGTTTGCTCTTAGAGAGTGTCTTCTGTTGAATGATCAGTTATTTTTGTGCACAACTATTTTGAGTGCCAGCTGTCATGGTATTTTTTTTCAAGGATTTTTGTGCCTGATTAATGTATTAATCAGGAAATACATAGCAAAGCCATAAGTAAAGCCATTCCTTTTCTCTGATGCCTTGATACATGAAGAATTTGTAGGATAACACAATGGCAGCCACTGATAATTCTGTACAGGGGTAAAAAAAACGGGTCATCGCATACTTCAAAAATGATAGCCCGGCAGGACAGTGGTCAGTTGAGGCACAGAACCATGTCTTCAACACGTGGATCACTTTTCGCTGCTCTATCTATTCCAACCATACTCTGATTTCAACTCACTGATTGTCAATCCACAGTACAATCTATTTACTCAGCGAGTGCCATACACATGTGCAACACACATACATGAACAGCAACATAATGTACATATTGCATGCACCGATAAATGCATATATTTATGCACAGTGCGAGTAGGGATTTCACTAGCTGGCGTCCGCACAATTTTTCATGGTTTAAGTTTAAAGTTGTAGGGAAACCAGCAAAACAAAATACCCATTTCAGATACGGCCTGTTTCATGCCCAGGTGTTGCGCATCACTGCGCTACAATACTTCTAATTGGTTTTGCAAATATAAGTCTGGCTTGTCAAAATGAAAAGTATTGATCATTGGTGTCCTCCAATTTTTTTTTTCTTTGGTACAGGAGATTGCCTGCTACAAATGCACACGTGTGCAATGTGCACGTGTATGGTGTGTTGGCTTTGGACAGGAGAGTAGTTCATAGCATGAAATTACATGCACATTTGAACACTTTACATTCGCTGACCATTTGTCCAAACAAATGCGTTAGCATAGTAGGTGATATGCTTAACCAAAGTGTGTAGGGGACACCAATAGTTCATGCACTGCATCAGTAGAATACACCAGTTATGCATTTTGTCACAAGCAAAGGACTTCAATATTCTACACCTGACAGCCCATAAAATATGGCCTTGACAGTCGCCAGATCAAAACTTAATGACTTTCTAGTCCCATAGCTCCCTCTAATGGTTGCTTTGATCGTCAGTTTGCACCACCGAAGGACACAAATGTGCAGAGAGTGGACAATACTGTCAAGTACGCCAGAAGGTTTCAAGAAAACAAATGCGCTGTTGGAGATCTCTCAACTGACGCATACATCCTCTTTAGAAATAATCATCACACTCCCACGCACCTTAGTGAAAAATTGTAGAATATGCTTGCACAAGCAATACCACCTAGGATGGCATAGTCACCAGCTGAGCCTTACTTTTGCTCACTGTCGATTACATCTGTATTGATGTTTGGGCACTCTGCTGAGGCATCATTTGCGTGTTAACTGCCATTCCCAAGAGAGAACTACCCTAGCCTTACTTTGACGTCGTGCATGCCTGCGCTATGATTCTAAACGCTTATCCCACTGTCAGTATCATGCAAATTAGCAAGAAACACACACTTATTTTAATGTGGTGTTGAAATTTGCACTCTAAGAATACAGAAATACAGCGTACATACATGTATAGCACTTCTTGTACAGCTAGCTTCTGTTTTCCAGCCAACTGCAAGTTGAAAAAATTTTACATGAGCTTACAAAGAAAATGGAGAAAATGCATTTGTGAACAAACACATAGCTGTTCCTAAAATGTGTTTTATTGTCCTTTGATGACTGTCAACAAGTATGATAAGTTTGCAATTAATTGGATTACAAATAACTGCCAAGTGGCATGTGTAACGAAAAAACAAATTGTCACTGCAATTCAACGTATAGTTCATGAGATATGACAATTTGTGTGTTAAAATACAACTTCCGGTCAAACCGGAAGTAGAGGCCACATGAGGTCAAGTTATCAATTTTCATCTATAACGCGTCCCTGACTATGTGCATACCAAATTTGAGTGAAATTGGTCAAACAGTTGACTACATGTAGTTATTAGACTGTAAAGAATGACCATTTGAATTGAGGTCAAGTAACCCTTGATCATGTCATGATTACAAACAGTTTTGGGGTACATCTTCTGATGATGGTTAATTACTATACCAAGTTTGAAATTTGATCGGACTTAAAATAATTGCCTTGTAGAAAAAAACAGTGGGAAAAGAAAAAAAAGGCAAAAAAACCTTCAACGATTACAATACTGTTCCCAATAGAGATTGGGAACAGCTAATTAAACAGACCCCATAAAAATGATGCTTATTTTATACAGAGAGCGTTGCCCAAACAATGGGGAACCAGTTGTTCTTATATCTACATGTACCTTATAAATGAAGAATTTTACCTATTGGTGTAAAAAAGCTCATATGAATGTGATCCATGGGTTAACAAAAAAGATTCAGCTTGCATGCGAATCATACTTTAAATAGTTCAGGATTTTCGCTAATAAAATTTTTGAATAATCTGTATTCAGTAGTTGATAAATTGGATCCTGTTCTAAATTAAGATTCAGGCATCATGTGAAACACAGGGAACAATCTGGCTGTGGTTACAGAAAACGACTTTTCAGTCCGACAAATAAAACCAAGTGGAACAGGGTCGACGCCTTTCACTTTCAAATACTATTTAAATGGTTAACTCCAATGACAGAGTGCTGAAACAATATTTCAAGTGGATGGTTTGAACCCTCTTTTTTAAACAAACAGAAGTCATTTTTTTAAACAAGCTGGGTTCATTTAACTGACAGGTTTCTACGTGTACACTGAAGTGAGTGATCTGTCACCAGGCAGCACAGCTTTTCTAAGAAGTGTTCTGTTCCCACCACCACCTGAAGAGACGTATGACCCAGCCTCACCTCACTATCGAACTTGTAAAGTATGACACACATACGGTACCCGCCAGGCTATTTGCATAAATCTTTGATAACATTGTGTAGGTTCAGTAGTTTCTGTAACATGTTTAGTTACCGTAAGTTCTTCAGTTGTGCATATACCCTCCCCCCCTCCAAATCAACTAAATTAAGGAACCTCATTCCTTGCATGTGTTGGGCAGGTGCGTTTCTTCTATCACATGTATGGGAATGACATTGGTATGTTGAAGCTGTTTGCCACCACGAATACCAGCGAACGTAGCTATCAGCTTTTCAGTGAGTCCTATGAAAACAGTGACATGTGGCAGGATCACTCTACCCATCTTCCGGTCATAACAGAGAGGTACAGTACCAGTTAGATGAGTTGGGAGTGACAGTATTCATTTAGTAGCCAGACTTCAGATTGAACAGAACGTCGCGGTGACGGCAAAAGACTTATCCGTTGGCAACTGCAGACAAATTCAGCAATATTTCACAACATTCTGGTTGGCCTCCTTACGTGGTAGAAAAGTATAGTGTTGGGCTTTGTACAGAGTGACTGTCACAGAGCACTGGCTACGTACAATAGTTATCACAGTGTTTACTGCCGTTGGTGGAGTCTGCTGCAAATTACCAGTGGTAGCATTGCCACGGTCACTGGATTCATCTATCTAAATTTTTCTCATCACATCATTTGACAGGCAAAGGAAGTTTAAAAAGTGTTCAAAGTCTGTGGAGGTGTGTACAGTTTCAAATCGGTGTATTTCTATTGGCAGATTCATGTACATGTATGTGAAAATGTGGACAGACTTGGAAGGCTCATGTTTCGGCGAACAGTGAACGCTCACCGCCAAAAATCACTGGACGGAAAAACCTCTCTGGAGGCAAATTATTGAGATGATTCCATGCTCACTTGCAGATCAGACTTCCATTTTCCAATAGGGCTGCCAAAAAAGAATGACTTTAACTTTTACTTTGATTGCAGTCGCCAGGTGGGTCAGCATTCCTTATTCAGGGTGAAGCTATTTTGGATTGTGTTCCCTGAATCTGTCATATTCAGTGTCATGTGTTAAATGGGGTGGTGCCAGACTATTTGGGGTTGTAAGCCCCACTTTCATTGATTTTAAATGTGACTTAAAACATTTAACTATAATCACAAATGAAACTCTTTGTCAGTGTAAACTGGCATTAGTTTGAAACTGTTATTTCTTTGCATTTTTTGTACTCACAGGTTCCTAAAATTAAAAGTTAATCTCATTTTCAGTGGAATATGGTTGACTCTTACATAAAGTCTATTGACTCATCCCGCAACCACTGTTAGGAATGCAATGTTACTAAGATGGTGCCACGCTGCACCTGGAACACACGTTGCATGTGTCATTAATTCAAGTGCAAGGAGAATTCAGTGTAGTGGTCAGCACTTTTAGTCCAAAAAGCATGGAGTGTAACGAAAAGTGATGCTCTAAATCAAACATTTGGCTGCACACCTGAGATGTAGGAGTTTCTGGAGGATTGAGTAGTTTAGTAACTGTGAGTCAGAGTAGTGCCAGCATGTCACAGCAGTGTATGATTTGATTATTCACTACCTGGGGTTCAAATTAACTGCAATATTTATTATTTATATGTACATTAGTTCAAAGATCTATGTGCATGAGCTCAGTGAGCTGTATTAACACTTTCTTATGAGAGCCCGGACTTGGACAATAATTGTCTACTCTCTTAAGCAACCAATGACAATTCAGAGAGTTGGAGGTTTTTTCCTTTGCCCTTCAAGCGAATTCCTGGTCACAGCTTGAAAATGCATGTGCACATTTAATATGGTGATAATTATGAATCATTTACAAATTTTCAAATACAGGTTATAAATGTGCTTCCTTTTCTTATAGTTAGAGAAAATAATTCATCCCATCCTTATCAACCTGAGACCCCCATCCACTTTTTAAAATGCCAGGGTAAACATCGGCTCCGTCGAACTTTGATTCCCATTCACAAATACTTTTTTGTATGAAAGTCCAATTAAAGTCAAAAATTAATATTTGTCCAATGATTTTTCCATAAATATTACCACATGTTGTGTAAAATACTCCTCTAGCCACATCTTTGGTGTGCAGGTTAGGTGCAGATCACAGCTGGGCCGTTGTGTGAACATTTTAGTTAAAATAAGACTGTCGGACTGACGATAATAAGTGATTGTTATGTATGGGTGTTAGAGTCTATACAAATAAGAAGAGCTATTTCATTTGAAACTTGGAAAGTGTTTGTTATCAGTTGGTGGCTTTGTCACATGTTAAAAACAACTTATGTGACAGGCTCTCGACCAGCAGTAATGGGAAACTAGGGCATTCATGACATAACCTTAAAAGTGCATAGACTGCTCCCATTTTATCAACAATCTATCCTTGTTTTTTGTGTCACATATGATTCCAGTTACTACCTTCAGTTTGAGAGTACCCGAGGTCTTCGTTTCCGAGGTGATATGGCCCTGGATGACATTTCACTCAGCCGGCAGTGTTTTCAGCTGGATGACCTGAGCTTTGGCACCGCGCCCCCTGCTTCGACAACCGAGGTCAGGTTAACTGCAACTTGGAGATCCAGATCTACCAAGTCCAGTAAGATGAAATTTACTCCTTGGAAAAAAAAATGGGTATTATTTTAGCAATGAAACCTGAAGTACAAAATAAAACTGATACTCTCTGAAAGGGTGTTGAATATTAGCTCTCTCTCTTTGCTGCTCAAAAGCTGGTTCGTGCTTACCACGAAAGCAAAACATAAACACAAAGGTGATTAGGTAATGTCAGTTATTTGTGCTGTGACTTTGTAAAAGTTAAACACATTTCAACTTTTTTTTGACGTCAAATTTGCTTTTTGTTGTATGAAAATGTGAACTGGCCTTAATGCTGGAGAGAAACTGATTTATCATGACAGAAGAATGTTCCATTGAGTAGCTTCTCTCGCCTAAGATGACCAGTAATTTTTCATGGTCACTTCACTTCTCTTTTCAACAACTTTGGTTGTTGCTTTGAGCAACACTTGTTGCTTTGCCTGCACTTTACTGTCTGCATGACATCGTGAAGTGGATGGCAGTCCTACCAGCAAAAAATTTATTTAGCCTGAAGGCAGGGCAGCGTTGTCAACAACAAATTTGGTTTGGAGATTCACTCTAACCCCTCCTGAAGTCACCATACTTTTCTCTTTAATCCTTGTTGTCGTTTGCAGCAAGTCCATCATCCACACCCTTCTTGGAAGACCCCATGGTGTTCCAGTTCAGCAACTGCGGCAGTAAGGGGGAGGCCGGCCCAAGCCAGACACAGTGCAATGTGGCCTACCGCCACGAGAATGTCTCGGTCTCTGTGGTGGACGGCATCCAGAAGTGGCTGGTACCCACCACAAAAACTTACAGGTGAGGTATTTGAAACCGACAAAGCTGTGAATCCTTGGCCATGTCTGAAAAATATGGCCGTGATTAGAAATAATATGTGATCCTCTGTATGTTATTTGTGACCTCGGCTAGCCAAGTTGATTCTCACACTAAGAAATGTACGCCTTCAATTTTTGCAGACTTTGAGCAATATTTTAATATTAATATTTTGGTCAAACACCAAAGATGAAACCAAACCAACAACTCAAATTTGGTATGAAATTTTTACCCTATCCACTACGAGACAGCTTAAATTTCAAACTTCTGATATCCCATTTTGTTGCTTGGGTCTCGTACATTAAGCAAAATTCTTCCTAGAGCCAGTCCAAAAAGAGATTTTACAAGGCATCTTTAATTCAGCTGACAACCTCTTTTGCTATCACATTGTATATATGCGGTGGCACTAACTGGACATTGGTTGCCCCGTTCTAATCCATAATGTGTCTCTCACAGCATAAAGGTCAAAGGAGCTGGTGGGGGAACCGGTGTGGAGAATACCAGCCCTTCCCGTGGAGCCGACATGGAAGCCAGTTTTAACTTGACAGCTGGGGACGAGCTCTTCATTTTGGTGGGACAGGAGGGAGACGATGCGTGTGATGATGGAGGAGAGGTGAGATACTCTCCGACTTGTCAAATGTCAGCGAACCCATGATGTCATCCTTGCTGGTCTTACATTGCACCAAAGTGTAACGTCATTTGGAATTAGGAAGTGTTGTGCAAACAAACAGAGTGCATGCACATAATTGTGAGACAAAGACTTGAAACTTTCTGAACAAGAACAGTATTTTTCTTTACTAAGTACCGTAGTTGGATTTTTCTCTTTCTCTTACTGATTTTAGGCCTTGATACTGTAATTTCTGTGTTTTTTAATGATCCTTGTGATAGGAGTAATAAATGAAAATCCAACAAATGAAGCTTATGATCAGATTTTCAGTAATTTTATTTTAGTTTCCACTAGAAAGAGTAACATGTGCTCATTGTTTTGATGCATCTCTCATTATTATATCCTGTTGAAAATGGGCATAAATGTGAATGGAATATGTCAAGGGTTACTGATGATTTTTACATCGTGCTTGAATATATCAATAGCCCTCTACTCCAAATTGGCTCTTGCGACTTGCGACTTACTTTGTCATGTTTGGTCACATTTCAGTTTTCATTGGGTGAAAATCGGACAAGTGGGTTACTTGACACTTTTTTGACTTTTTTTTAAGTCTATCTTTTGAAAGGCTGGTTCATACTTCAAGAGAATACAAAAGTAAAGCATATTGTACATTATGAAATGCTTACAGCAGATTTCACTTGGGTTAAAACGTGTTCAACTCTTTACCACGGGGTGGATATTTGATCTGGTGCCATAAAATTGCGGTCCAGTTTACTTGCATTAAGTGTGAACCAGGCCAAAGGCGTTATTTGAAAAATCTGCATATCTCATCGGTATACACTTCTCATCTTACACCTTGCTCACAGACAGATTTTGGTCCCAGCGGTTTCTGCAGCAGTGAACTGACTGATGAGGACAGGAAGCGATTTGGGGCAGCAGGGAACCTCGCTGGGGGTGGAGGAGGGGGCGGAGGTGGATCGTTTGTTGCTAAGGTGAGTAGGTCCTGGCTGAGTTGTCATTGAGGGTGTAGGAGTAGCACTTGTGTGACTTTGTATTAAGGATATGAATATGCATTGAATTTGTGGGCATGAGTGATTGGTAGTCACCGAATGATAAGTTGAAGAAGAACTAAGTATTTAAGTAAATAAGTATTTAGTTTATGATTCTATTAAATTTGTAGATGCTGAGACATTGAGCAGTTTGGTGGAAAGTCATTTCAGATTAATTGAACCGTCCTCCTTTGTACAAAATAACGAACAAAAACCATGTTCCCCGTAAAACGACCCCTCCTAAAATGTGTCCAAACCTGTCTGCATGAATACTAATGTGGATTTATTGCCCGAGTGTCATGAAACCCTACAACGATGACAGTGCTTTTTTGTTGTGTTGTATGCTGTTGTTGTTCCAGTGGGATGAATCTAGCATGGAGTACATTCCGTTGTTGATAGCTGGTGGGGGAGGGGGTCTTGCATTCAGCCCCAGTCTATCCCTGGTTGGTGTTCACGGCTCAGCAGATGTACCGGGACCTGGGCTTTCTGGCAGCCAGGGATCAACCAACGATGTTTCTGGTAATCTCCCTCCCGATGTTTCAGTTTTTTGATAAAAGGGTGTTAAAGATTTCTTTATTTCCTGGCAGTGCTAAACAAATGGCAACAGAGGTTCTGCGTGGGTTCATGGATGCTGTTGGCAGTAAGCGTAGCAAAGACACGCTTACCTCACAGGAAAACTTTGCTTTAACTAAGGTAAAAATGGAAATCTCTGTGCATGCACAACCTTGCCAAGCACCGCCATGAAATAGTGCTTATGGTGAGCAAAATTTTATACTATAATAAGCACAACTTTTCTGCTAACTGTTAAATAGATGGCTACAAAATGGATAAACGCTATACTTGGCATCAGTGTGGAATGTTTGAATCAGGGAGGTTACAAAGGCTAGTCCTGGCCCACACCTTTCACTAGTGTATCATGTTACTAGTATTTCACAACCAGTACTGTCAGGAAGCTGGTGAGAAATAACTTACCATACAAGCTTAACTGAGGTGGGGCTTGACTCCCTGAGCTCTTGTGCACTAATGCAAATGTTTCCTGACAGACTCACAGCTGAAAGTTTTCACATGGCAGATGTAAACCGCTGAAAGTTTTCACATGGCAGATGTAAAGAAAATATTCGTCAATACTAGGCAAACTTAGATTACAACTTACATCAACCCAAGCCAACACATTCCATTGCATGTGGCATGATAGATTTAAAAAAAACCAAAAATACGTGAAAATAACTCTTGATTTTGATCTTCACCCGTAGTATGGTTAAACTTCTTGCTGAGGAAGGTTTCTGTTAATGCCATAGACTGCCTCTGAAGTTGTTCCCTTGGGCATATCCTGTGCAGGAGCAGGAGGTGGTTGGAACACCACCGGGGCAAACGTGACCCAAGCCAGCGGCAAGTCCTTCCTGGAGGGAGGTCAGGGAGGTAGGGAGTGTGGCTTGGCTCGCCTGGAGGCTGACTGGAGGACCCACGGAGGGTTTGGTGGAGGGGGAGGAGGCTGTACATCAGGCGGAGGGGGTGGTGGCTATTCAGGTATGATAGGTTGGTCATTGGCCAAAACACTACTGAATATTCAGTGTAGTGAATAGACATGGTTGGCATTGTGTGGTCTACTTTACTGAGGCTTGGGGGAAACACTGTGTGTACTCTGGTTGGCATTTTCAAATAGCAAAGTGTGCATATGACCAGTTTCAACTAGATGTGCATATATAGGTCCTGTGTTACAGTTTCTTGAAAAGTTTTGGAAAGAAATGTCTAAAACACAGTCATGTTATTTGTAAATATTGTAAAAGTTTCCTGTTGCTTTCCTGATGTGTTGTCCTTTGTGAGGGCTGGTGTTCTCCACACAACGCCAATCGCAAACAAGGTTGTAGAGCCCAAGAAATTTTCAAGTATCATCAGTCAGACCTTAGAAAAAGTCAGTTTGGCAAAACAAGTAATTTTCTTTTTGAGCTTTACCTCTGGATTAGAAATGATTTGGATTTGGGCACACCTGTGCACTACAGACTAGTGCCAGTCTCCAGCGATGGTTTTATCAATTCACTTTGCATGGCATTTTCGATGTGTCAACTGTGCTCCAGGTGGAGATGCCCCATTGATCAAGGATCTGTATGGGAATGGCCAGGGTGGAACATCTTATGTGCACCCATCTGGTTTTGATGTCAAGAAGAAGTCAGGTAACAGAGACTAAAGTGCATATCTTTCCCTTTCTTTCCCCTTGTGGAAGTTTAGGTTTTTTCGAAACAAAGAACAGCGTAGTAATTACACTTCAGCTAATCAGTGCCTTGTGATCAGAATTCATCTCACTCAAATCTGGGTGCGTTGACTAACCCGAAGCTGAAGAAACATCTCAGAAATCCACAGCTTGTATTGAATCATCTGGTTGTGAAAGTACTTGTAAATTCATGAACGTTTCCTCATTTTATCGAAGTATCGAAGTGTGACGTCATGTAGAACCAGCAAATGCTGTACAAACGAATGGAGTACGCGCCCACATTGGTTCATGCGCTGGTTCTCGCGCTGATGCATTTTTCACACATAATTGTGCATGCGACGTATTCCCTTCGGTATTCTATACCTGTGCTCGCTTTCAAGACCAAGACTAAGAGTTTTTAAATCATTTTTGTTAAAAGCTGGGTGAGCTTGAGGAATGTTGCTAAGATTTCTCCCTTTCTCTAAAACATCCACTGTTGTCTTTTTTCTCCTTGGATTCATGTAGGAGCTAACTTGGGAGCTGGGGAAGTAGTCATCACAGCCCTCCCTACCTGTGGAGCTAGGACAAGGATGAGTGAAGATAGAAAGACTTGTATCAGTGAGTTTTAGATACTGGTGTGTAAAACTGGCCATTATAGGACTTCCTTTCACTTGACAAAATGCATCATCTGCGTGCACCTGCCCTACTTGCCAATTGTTGTACAGCTCAGTTGGCACATTCAGATCTGTAAACTATCTCAGTCTGAGACAAGTTTGAAGGATGTACTTGAGAAATGAAGATACTAGATACGTCAGATTGAATCAAATATGAAAAGCCTGCAACTCTGTTGATGAAAAACCTCCATGCTGGAATGGTCGCAACTTTCTATGATTTTGCAGCCTGAGAAACTGTCTCAATCGGGATTTTCTCATGTTTTCATTCCTCGCCTTGATTGAGCTGAATATGTACAATATTGTATTTCACTAAGAAACAAGAAACTCCTTATTTGGGTTTCCTTTCCAGGTATTCCTCCGGATCGTCTACCATCAGCTGTCATTGTTGGCAGTATTGTACCAGTGCTCATTGCTATCCTCTGTGCAATTGCAATCATCGCACTGCGTAAGTTGGGCGGCCACAGTTTTCTTGAAATGTTTTGTTTTGAGTTTATAATGGGAGCAGAAGCTGATCACTTTAATTCAAGGGCAGTAGCGTACATCAACTCTCCCCCCCCTCCACTTTTTACTGAAATGAAACCAGAAGTCAAATTAGCTCGAGACCCCATAAGACCATCACAACACCAAGATATGGGCATTAGTCTCAATTCAAGTCACATGCTGTTCCAACTAACCACAGCAGAAGCCGTTACTCATGGCTGATCTTGTGACCGGTCTTTTGTGTAGACTGATAGTTAAATGACCTTCCTCCCTGTACTAAAACTAGTCAATATTACATTCAGGAGCAAGAAATGTCTACTCATGGACCAGAGCGACTAGTTATCGACTTTGGCAGAAAAGAAGCATTAAACCCTCAGACTTCATGGTTTGATACTGAATTCCTTTGTACAAAGTTTACTACCGAAAGAGAAAGAAACCCAGGGAGGCTACGGAAAGTTTACCAATGGAGTCAGCGGACTACCAGCTGAATCAGCTGCGACACAATGCCTCAATGGACTTCAACCCCTGCTACCAGCTGGGTGATGGGGCAGTCACTGTCAAAGATCTGAAGGAGGTACCTAGGGAGAATTTGAAATTGATCAGGTGAGAATGAGTGAAGGTAACTTTGGAGAAATCTTAAGGCGTCAACAGACTTGGTCTCATAGTCAGGAAGACTGGAGTTGTGTTCCAGCTTTGGAATTGTTTACGTTAGATAACAAAGAGACAGTATATGTCACTCTCAATCGCATGGAAGTTCAAAAAGACCTTTTTACATCATGTTTCCCTCAACTGAGCTTTCAATTAATCTAGATCAGAATCTTTTGGTGGCTGCCAGAACCATTTCTTCTTACAAATTTTCATGTGGTGTTGTGATTATTTACAAGTGATAGAAGTTAAGAGACAGAATTGAAATTAGAATGATCAAGGTGATTTTGGAGTACAGTCATTTAAAGACATTAAATATGATCTGTTGATTGCATCTGTATTTGGGCATACAGTTGAAACAATGGGAGAAAATGTTCTGATTGGATGTATCTGAAGGCAAGAAATGCTTATTGTTTCTGACAGAGCCTTGGGCCAGGGAGCCTTTGGTGAGGTTTACCATGGTGTCTTCCAGCCTGCAGACGAGAAAGAACCATTTGAAGTAGCAGTGAAGGTATTCTATTGAAATGCAGTGACATCTTTAGGAGTGACTTTAACGTCCCAAACTTTTATCCTTAAGATGACAGTGTATTTTTTTTCACTGCAAGTCACATCTTGTAAGTGGTATCCCTTGGGAAAACTTAGCCAAAGTTTCTTTTGGTGGGAAATTTTGAAAACACACGATTAGAATGTTCAGTTGCTGAGAAACTGGGCCTTTGCTTTCATCAAACCTTCTTCCTGTGGGTTGCTGGTGTTCTCGTTACTCCAGCCGTCCTAGATCCTTCAGAATCAAGTTGGGTTTATTTTTGGAAGATTTTTTTCTAGGACAGAGAAAGGTAGAGATCAGCTCCGTTGATTGACATCTGGCTTGATGGCTGTTAAAATTTCAAGTGCGAAATATGTCCCGTGTAATGATAACTTTGAAGATTCATCAGGGTTCCTATCCAAAATGCCTCCAGAATCCGGGTTGAATGGAAATTTCAGAACATGAATCTGGTGAAAAAATATGAGAAAAAACAACTCGGGTTGTGCTGCTTATGTTATTATCAAAACATTGCATTTGACTAAAACTGGCTTCTGTTGATGATGTACCTCTTCCACAAGACTTTGCCTGAGCGGAGTACCGAGCAAGATGAGTCAGACTTCCTGATGGAGGCCCTGATCATGGGCAACTTTGACCACCCCTACATTGTCTCGCTGAAAGGGGTGTGCTTCACTCAGGCTCCCCGCTTCATCCTGTTGGAGTACATGGCCGGCGGGGAACTCAAGCAGTTCCTCAGGGAGTCCAGACCCCGACGGGTGGGTAGATGGAGAGGTTATACCTTGGGTCGATGATGAAGGGATTGTTAGATGTCGATCATTCCTATTACCTTGAACAGTCCCTCTTTCCAGAGGATGGTTGTAAACAGACTTTTATAGTGTGCCACTCCCTCTTGGTGTTACCGTTGAGATGCTATTTTTTCTGGCAGAATCATTTCATATGTTGATTGATGGATGGTACCATTGCTGTCTGAATATCACGACAGTTCTTTCTAGTCTTGAAAATTTGGTAATGGGCCTTTTGATTTGTGCTTTGTGACCTTAACACGGTGATTTTGTTCATCCTTGTGTTTCTTTTATACTTCATGTTACTGTGCCTTGTTTGTGGGGAAAAAAATGACGGAAGTGGACCTTTTTTGTGCTGATAGTAAAACCACTCCAGCTCCATCTGAATATTGCATGCTAGCAAAATTAACATTAGAAGTTAGTTGCATTTAGAAGGAAGCTGTGTTCCAAAGTACATATCATAAGATTATTGCCAGATTTTGTCTGGGCAGGTATAAAAGTCAGCCAGTTCTGTCTGACCCTTGAGGCTCAGGAAGGTGTGGGGTACCTGTGAATGTAGAGCTGGTTTTTATCAAGAACCATGTTCAAGAACTGCTTTCTAGGTCGGTTTGTTCTTGTTACTTTTGCACCGAGCCTGAGGGTGACTTTGCACTCCTGTTATGAGAGTCGAGCTGGCTCCCCTTCAGGAACCAGGTTCTAGAACTTGTTCCCTTTTGGGTTCTTGGTTCCAGGGCCACCCCTCACTGCTAGACATGTCAGACCTGCTGATGGCTGCTTACGACGTGTCCAAAGCTTGCGATTACCTGGAATCCCAGCGCTTCATTCACAGGGACATCGCAGCCCGGAACGTCCTACTCAGCAGCAAGGAGAAAGGACGAATCGCCAAGATTGGTGACTTTGGAATGGCAAGGGACATCTACAGGTAAGCAGCCAGATGTCAGTGCCGTATTGGTGAACAAAAGATGTTGGTTTTGCTGAAGGCGGTGAGGCTTCAATGCATTTGAGGTTATATAAGGAGCAAGGTCATAAATTGATGAAAATCTTTTCCTGGTTTATTAAAGTCTTTGCCAAGCTTTTTCAGTTGAACGTCTTTTTTCTTTCTAGATGACATTCAGTTCCATTGCAGGTTACTCCTGAGCTGATGTTCTCAGCTGGATGGATAAAATGAAAAGCTTAACCACTTCATGCCGGTTGCAGTTATCAATGTTGATGATGCTGGGGCGGGATAATTATCATTTTTTTCTGTTTTCAAAATTCTTTAAAAATTCCTGTCTTCATGTACTGGACACTTACACCCACACGAAGGACTGTCTGGTCTCTACTCTAGCCTGACAGACAAAATCTATTGAGGCCTGAGTATTTCAGCCAGGCCTGCAGCCTTGTAAAAAGAGCCCACATTGTGTGGTGTTATATAACTTCCTTTCCTGTCACAGTGCACTGCTGACCTCTTTTCAATAGGGGCCAGATTAGCGTGCAGCAGTGCTGTGTGGCTCATCACTGCGGTGGTGGAGCACTTTTGTCCTGTATTACGTAATTGCTGTATTCGTCTTTCAGAGCTGACTACTACAGGAAGGGAGGCCAGGCTATGCTGCCAGTCAAATGGATGCCACCAGAAGCCTTCCTGGATGGAATCTTCACCTCCAAAACTGATGTCTGGTAAGACCAAAATCAAGAAATTCCTTTATATACTGGCTGTGGGCACGATTAATGAGGTGCCACTGCTCAGGGATTGCGTTTCCCACCCTGTGTATGCTTGAGATTGTTTATGGCTAAATTTGAGGCATTTTTTTAAAGAAAAATGAATTTCTCTTTTAAGGTTTCCCTTTCTCCCAAGCGAAACACGGAAACATCAATACCAATGACTCACATTGAACCATCGGAAGTAGACAACGCAGTATCCTCAATAATTGTGCACATGTGTATTGGCAAATCTCAGTCACTGAGTTCGAGTGTGAAATCACAGTCAGACGATGGCCATTTTAGCAATCACCTTTGATATTTGTCCAATCAAAAGTAGAAGTGGTCGGACAGAATATTCAAAGGAAATGTGAAGGTAGAAATCCCCAAAGCAAAACCGTCATTGCATTTCTTGTTCTAGTTTGTGTGCTTGTGACATTTAATTAAGTTACAAACATTCGTTCTCGTGTGGCCTTGTCGTATCAAAAGCTGGTAATGGCCGGATGAAATTGAGCCTGCTGGTGTGTTTTGTCTGATCACTTTTTGGCCTAAGTTTACGCACTGGTGAGTGATTATGGCATGCTGTATTCTATTTACTCATCATCATAAACTAAACCTAGGAGAAAGTGTCACTGTAGTGACACCACACTCACACAGGTGTACCACATGTTCTTGAATTTGACAAGTTCTAAACACCCTCTTTGCTGAAGAGTCATGACACCTGTTCTGTCTTGACGTTAATGACTACACAGTAACAGGCAGCTATGGGTACTGAATTGATTTACCAGATTAGTCTACACTCACATGGATTCAGTGAAAGATGCTTGGATAGTACAATACAGTCTTTCCATTTGGGAAGGAAGCTCTATTCTTACAGTTCTTGTAAATATGTTTCTTAGCAAATACAGAGTTTTCTTGTACTTCCACAGCATTGCGAGGAGGGCCAAGGAAGGCACCCCTCTCCTGGAACAAAGTGAAAAAGGAAAAAAAGGAGGGGAAAAGAAAAAAATGAGAGAGAGTGAAAATCACCTGAATTGCTTGAGAAAGAAAATCTCCAAATTGACCTCTCCAGCCAATAATTGTTTTATTATTTTTATCTAATGAGCGCTTTACCCCCCCCAAAAAAATTTCCTCCAAAAAAAGAAGTCTCCCCCCATAAAAACCACCTGGCAATGCCCATGCGTACTGCTGTGTAATATCCAGTTTTTTTTTTGCATGGGCTAGGTCATTTGGAGTGTTGCTATGGGAGATCATGTCCCTTGGTTACATGCCGTATCCAGGAATGAGCAACCAGGAGGTCATCTACTTCACCACTCAGGGACAGAGGATGAACGCACCTCGCAACTGTCCCAGACCAATGTAAGATCCAGTGACATGGAGTCGAAGCTTCCACCAGTTTCTCAGGCCTTGTTGGTATCTTAGACGTAAAAAACTCGTATCTGTGGCTTAAAAGTTTACAAGTTGCGTCATGTGTAAAAACAAAGAGTGCATTTAGGGCAGATTTGCCGACTATAAAATTAGATAACATGGACTTCAGACTGATATCAAACAAGAGAGGTAAAATGGGAGTGTCTGTTATGCAGAGAACAAGCGTACAGCTTTCAATACATGTATTCATGTTTTGTGTGTGTGTAACACTCTTGATTTTTCTAGTAAAAGATGATTTAGATTTATTTTTAAAAATCCAGATTTTTTTAAGGGAAGTCCTACATTACAGGAAAAAAAGTCAGTTCAAATAGAACTTGGCTGAAAGCTGTGATTTTATACATATGTCATTCATATGCTGTGCATGTATGTGGCCTGTAATCCTGTTTAACCTACCTGTTTAGCATTCTGCTTCTGGATATTAATGAAATCCAAGGGTTGCTCCTTTCTGTTTCTGTTAAAAAGACAAGAGTTGATGTACCAGTGTTGGCAGCGGGACCCAGGTGACAGACCAAGCTTCTGCTTCATCTTGCAGTTCCTGTCAGATTGTTTGCAGGTATGGATCACTATTGTTCCTTTGTCTGTTGTCTGTGTGAATTGTTCCAAATGTAACATCATTGTAACTTCTAGTCAGTGTTGTAATCAAGTCCTTTTCCTGGTCCCAGAAAAAATTCCAGATAATAGGTGCTACATTAGGACTCAACCTGAGAGTACTAATGCTCAAATTAGTTTCAACTCCAACTTGTGATACAAACATACAGTATTTCATCCATTTTATAATTTCTTTTGGCAGGATCCAGGCATCCTAAGTGCACCTCTACCCCAGGAATTGGTAGACGACAAAACCCCCACAGTAACGAGACCCCGCAACTCTAAGACCTCCCCCGTCCTCAAAGTGCACAGGTCCAGCGCCCAGTCCTTCGACACAGCTGGGGCCCATGCCAATGTCGAACAGGGGGTGGTTAGCTCAGCCAAGGAGGATGACGAGGAGTATCTGACTCCTGACTGGGTCCCAGGAGGACGGATGAAAGAGCACCTCATCTCTGATGATGGGAACATCAACAATTCGGCGGATGATCATGAAGCTTGTGCGAGGATGCCTGCCGAGGAACTCAACCATGAATCTGTCGACAAGCTGAAGAGGCGACGCAAGACAAAGGAGGGAAACGGCAAACCCAGACCAGACTCAGATACCTCATTTGACCCACCAATTAATCAGGACAAATGTGCAAACGAGGCCACAGACCTCCTAGACAGAGGTGAGGAGGTAACCGCTGAAACGTCCTTCACGAGATCCACAACGCCAAGAAACTCAGCAAAAGTTTCCCCTCTTGATTTCAGTAGACTGGTCAATCAGTCCTCTCGTGATTACTCACCGGACAGAGCCACTCATGTGGAGACAGACAACAGGCCGTGCCAGCCAGGGACAAAATGCTCAATACTGAGGAACTCACACAGGGCAGCTGCTCAGGATGTCAGCAGACTGGCCCAGCAGTCTCTCCAAGACCCACCACAACCAGAAGACCTTGATGCCACTCAGGATCTCTGCATCAGCAGCAGGGCCAAGCAGCAGTCAACAGCACCAAGTAGAGATCCTGCCACCAGTGGCCCCAGTGCTGCTGGAGATGAGGCGCTGCCCTCCGCCTCCTTCACGCCACGGATCCTCAACCGCTTTCGTCTGCCTGTCTTCTCTCGCCACAGCAGCTGGGAGGTGCCCAACGCCTCCGCCTCTGCGACCTCTTCAGTGACCCCCAACAGTTCATTGCCCATGTTGAACAGGATGCAGAGCCTCCCGGTCAGGCCCAACCCTTACACCATGACGGATCTCTCCAACCAGACCAGTCAAGCCAGCAGCACGCCAGACACCAGCAATGTGATCATCGGTGCCAGCAGCGGCAGCAGTAACAACCTCTATGATGCTGCCAGCAGGAGGGTCATGTTCAACTCCACTTCGGGTCAAGTTGTGTTTGAGGATGATGAGATAAATGGTGAAGTTGTTTGAATGGGGCCAAGACGCATCACTAATAAAAAGACGCAGAGTTTAAAAAGGTGTTTGTTTTTAGAGAAGTATTACTCAAAGTCTTCAATTTAATTTTTGGTACACATGTTGAATGTGGAGAGTTGGCATCGAGGAAGAAACACAATTATCCAGGCCAACCCAGGCGGCTGGCTGACCAAAGCCCACACACACTATCATTCACCACATCCACTCAAATGTCCCTGAATGTGCAGTATACAGTCCATAACCTACAGAGACATCCTAGTTTAACAGAAAGAAAAAAATAGTTGACAACTCTCATTAAACAATTACCATTTCCAGTTGAATTTGTCCTCACTGCCAAAACACCTCAAGACCTGTGTAATCACCATCCCTTGGCCCATGCAGGCAGACCTCACGCAGCCATGCCACATGTATGTATGTATGCTACCGATACATGGGACACAAAATCCTAGAGCCCTTCATCACAGTGCTCCCTTCAATCAACTTCCAAATAACACCTTTTAAAAATTCTTTGTCTCCTCCAATCTGCCATCAAACTACCCTATAATCACAAGCGGATAAAATAATGGCAATAAACAAATTTACAAATATTCCATTAAGTGGTGAAATAAAGCAATGCAAATTACAACCAAAAAATGGAAACAGTTACTTATGGAAATTGGCAGGCGCTGCCGTGTAGCCCACGCCGTCTAAGAGAGATATATATAACATGTATATAACAATGTGTATACATTGTCTATCATGTTGTAACCAGAGATAATTGACAAAAACAAAGCAAGTATAATATGTAGAAAATCTGAAAATGGGTAATTAAAAAATCACAAAATTGTAGCCCTAATTTCATCACTTGGAACCTCCCTACATGAACACACGACTCACTTCAATAGATTGTCGTCAACTGCAAGTGAGGTGGTTAAAGCCACTTTGTTAGGTTCCCCTACATCTACAAGTAATACACATTTGAGTGCATCTTGGATTCTCTGTCTTTAAGCTGCTGTGAAGGTACAAATACAGATCAGCTCAGCTAACTTTGGCTAACTCTGTTTAGGTACCTTCTGGCAATGAACATTTGACACTACTTTGGGTTGCCATTTTCTGCATTAATTGGGAAAATACTCAAGTTCAAATGTTGGTAAAGGAACACAGTGTATGCTTAGCTTTTTGTTTATTCAGTTGGCATGCTTTGTACAATTTTCTGTCATTCATACAAGAGGTTTGACAGTGGTAGTCTTGCAGATGTCTTTGTGTAGGGGAGAGTTTCAATCTGCAAAGTTTGGCCAAGCTTTGGAAACCCCCCCCCCCGGAGTCCCTACAATGTTTTTGTTCCCCTTCCCCCAAATTTCCTTCATGTGTGACAAAAGGATACAGGCCTATTGAAGCAGCAGTATTTGGCTGCTTTGCTGATTGGAATTTGATCTGGAAGGGGGGGGTGAAGTCATTTGAATGTTTCTAGTTGCAGCTGTTATGAATTGTAAATATTTCAAAAAAGATATTCCATACTATTCCATAGCATTATTGCAGATATTTAAAAACAATTCATCATTGACAATCAGAAAATATCTAAGAAAAATGTTTATGAAATGTAAAATTCTTACAGCATTATATTCATTTCAGCGATATTGCCAACAGTTTGCTCTTGTTGGGAGAGGAATTTTATTTTTTGAAAAGCTGTTTAAAATTTGCTTTTGAAATAAAATGATGTCATTGTAAATCCAATATTTCCAAGCTTATAACTATTCTTGCATGAATGGTAACTGTACAGGATATCAGTATTTGTTAAGGTAATAATCATACACATTCCATCGCTGTAGCAAAAATTCCTCCAAACAGATTCATGTAATAAAGTTGGCAAATAACTGGTATCTTTTATATAACACTTTGAAATTAAAATGTATGGAAAAACAGTAGGTATGCAGAGAGTTTATTGGGAATTTCGAATGGCAGATCCACAAACATGAAAGCTGACGATTTCAGATTTCTGTTTGTTTTGTTATTATTATTATTTCACGCCAGTGAAGCCGAAGGGACGTTTTAATTCAACTCCTAGGATTCCCTAGTTGTTTCACTATCACAGATTCTGCACCACTTATACCCATGGACACTTATCAAATCAAAAAATCCTATTACTATTCCACCTGGCTGGAATACTTTTCCTCCCAGGGGGATTACTATGCCACCTTGGTCCATTACTATACTACTTAGGGATAGCTGTCCCACACAGGTGGAATACTATTCCTCCCAGGGGGATTACTATGCCACCTTGGTCCATTACTATACTACTTGGGGATAGCTGTCCCACACAGGTGGAATACTATTCCTCCCAGGGGGATTACTATGCCACCTTGGTCCATTACTATACTACTTGGGGATTACTGTCCCACACAGGTGGAATACTATTCCTCCCAGGGGGATTACTGTTCCTACCTGTGCAGATAGTAACTTGCCCCTGGTTGCTGCTTCGTTTTCTTTTCAACTTGTAGGCAAAGTGCCCGCCGAGGAACCCAACCACTAATCTGTTGACAAGCTGACAAAGTGATGAGGAGGAAAAACTGGCAAACCCAGACCAGACTTGTTGACTTTCAAGTGCCTTTGTTGAGTCTTTCTTTAATGGAAATGGAAACCTGGCATATGATAACAAAACATACCATGGCGTTTGCATTTTTAAGTGGCCTTTCTCAGATGTGTGTTGTTGAGGATCAGTTCTTTCCCAAAATCTGTCAGTTACATTGTCACTTTCCTCCATTGTTGCCGGGAAATATTTCACTGATTTATCGGTACTTTCAGTGGTTACACCACTGCATTGTATTTTTCCCAATTTTTGAAGACTTCTTTTTTCTTATGTTCTTGAAGTGCTGTAATTGTGAAAGCATTATGTTTTTTATGTAACAACTGTTAGTGCCTCACTCTTTTTTTCCTTGTACTTCACAATGCAGAAAATAGAATTAACTTTAAAAGCAGAGTGCAAAAAGTGTACATAGTTTCATTTTGAAAAATGAGTGAATACAAATTATGCAATTACACGATGCATTGACTTTTATATGCTGTATGTAATACAAATTATATAATGTTATGCAATTATAGTCTTTGTATTTTAGCAAAGTGGGGTTTAATGTTTGTGCAAATGTATAATTAAAGAAAAAATTACTGCAATAGTAGACTAGTGGATTGGATTTTGGCTGCTCGTTGCACCTGATTTATAAATACAAGGCATTTTTTTCAATTAGTTATGCTGCAAGTTTCTGCTTTGCCAGCTGTGTCATTCTCCATGTAAACTACAGTGTGAATATGTTTGTTTTTATCTACATTCAAATTTTATTTTATATGGGATTGTAGTTTTTGTAGTTATTAAAATGCCTTGAGTTTAAATTAACAGAAAAGTTTCCATTGTTGCTATTTTCTTTAATTGATTGGTTCATTGATTGCTACATGTATATGTCAATAAACAAATTTACAACAGAATTGGTCTTGGCTCGAATGAGTAATAGCATTAAGTTAAAACAATGATATAATATTAATATAAAATATACACATTAGAAACTGTTACACAGTAAATATTATTTTTATGATTAAAAGGAACCAATGGAATTAAACTATATTAAACAGCTAAACTAAACAGCTGCACAGCTCTTTCAGGTGTCTGCTGCCTTGTGCTTACACATATAGCTATCAGAGATTCTTAAGCTAATCCTATTTTTCAGTTTGTCCAAATTTAAACCTTAAGGTGCATTTCGTACATGATGCATTCATGCATTTCACTTTCACAAACACAAAAATTGACTCATGGCATTCAGCCGTCAAAATTGCCTGGGTGTGATTTTGATGGACATGCAAGGCTTGGCACAAGTGTTGATGCTCCTACGGAAAGGACTTCACGTACAAAACTGAATACGCAAGGGCTGAAGTCTTTTAAAGGTTTGGCAGAGCAAGGAATGAAACTTAAGAATAGTTATTTCCAAAATCCTTTACAAGTATCAACTTCTCTTTGTATTATCTGCAGGATTATCTTCATATTCCCAAATGCAACTGAAAGCTCCCTAATTGTATTACTTGTTAAAATTTGGCCTGTTTGGTTCTGGTTACTCTTGCAGGCAAAAAAAATGCACAATGCCTTGTGATTTAAAGAAAGTTTGACTATTCAGTAAATAATGTAGCATCCTAACACTGGGTGATACTTTCCAATGATCTTATTTCTTTTGTCTACAACAGAGCTTTTTTTTTTTTTTGATTTAAACCCGAAATAATGGTTACTTCTTTAAAATGTGTACAATGTGTCTATTTTCACAATTCTTAAGTGTCATTCAAGGAAACAAGACACGGAAACAGATTTCCATTCAGTATCAGCTTTATTGTAGAAATTAAAAATTCAAGCCACTGAAAGCTATTTTGTAGAAGAATGGTACAGTACAGCATATGATGAGAAATCTACACTGAGTTACGTGCAAAACACTTATCTCTGGATTAAATCAGGTACAGTGCAAGTAAAACATAGCTGCCAAATAATGTATATATTTTTCCTCAGATATCTCTTGAAATTTTAGCCACCAGGGAAATTTTTTCCCTTCTTAGTTATTTATCCTTTCAGTGAAAATGAAAGAAAAGAAAGGAACTTCAAACCAGCATTCTTTTGGCAGTGAAAATTAGAGACCCCAAGAGATTTATTTCAACAAGCATGATTTATTTCAACAAAATATGTTTCCTGAAGGAGTCTTTCCCTAACAAATTTTATACAGAAATATATCAGAGGTGTCCCTTCTGTGATATACTGTGCGAAGGGACTCAATTTCAGTACAAAATGGAAAAAAAAATAACTTGTCATTTTTCCAAGGCCGAGAAAAGTTCTTCGGAAAAATCAGACCTTTCAGTAGACAGAGCCCCCAAATAACCCAACAGATTAACCCACTGAACAGAACTTAAAGCCAAGTAAGAATACGTGTCGTGACATGCAAATGAGTAGTGGTGCCACTGCAAGAGGTTTCTCTACTGCATAATTTACAATCATCATGGATTTTCTGACATCACACTTTGATAACAGATACAACCCTGCACAACATTACTGAAGCACACGTATGGGCAAGTTGCATCAGCGACAAATTGTCAACCAATGGCTGAGTTTAACTGACACCCTATGCATGTAGTAGATACCAGGCACCAGACAAAATTGATCAGTGGTTAATACAATGTTGCTGATCAAACTTGCACTGTGACTACCAAGAGAGCTGTTTGCAGCCGTTAGATTTACTTCTTAAAATTAAACTCCATTATACAATGAAACAGCTTTACTTGCTGCAAATAATATGAACGGCTTATCTGACGGACAAATTAAAATATCACTGACATACTGACAACAAAAGTTCAGCTTGCATTCAAATATTGTCTTTTCATGAGAAAAAAAACATTCTTATTTCCATACAAAAGGGAATAATTTGGCACTTTACGTAAACTTTATGCAAAAGCAACAACTCAAACTGAAATCATTCTTATTTGCTCACTGCAAGGTACACGTACGTTTAAAATCTGGTGTAAAACAAAATGAGACAGTTGGCACAGTTTTAGTAAAATGTGCCCATAACTAAAGTGAAGTTGTTAAAGAGTTGTTTCTTATTAACATATGACTCGGTGGTTTATGTGAAAACGTTGACGGGAAATCTGAAATAAAGTGATTAACAAGGACATAGGTTATGGGAAATAGAAAAAAAAATAACCGTCTATATCAATGTAAAGAGGACATAAAATGGGTTTTGAAAGGCAGAAAAGTATGCTAGAAATAAAGAAAGTGTCATTGACTGATGTACAATGACTGACGATGTGTGTGGTACAAACACTGAATATACAGTGTTATCATACACCTCAGGCAGGGCCAAAAATCCAAACTTAATTAACATCTCCCCGGCGTAAATCCATCCTTGGAAATATTAGTACAATACCACTATCTTACTGTGACTCTGAAGACAGGGATGGTTAAATCCTGGCTTGTGGTCTACCGCTACTCCAATCTTATCATGTGTTAATTTGGGCCTAAATATATCAACTTTATAACTTAAAACATCTTGACACAAATCAATGCGGGAAAAAACAAATGAAAATTACCAAAGCAGAAAAAATTATACATACTATAATTATGGCCCCAAAAGATGCATTACAGGAAGTCTACATTGTAAGCAAAGTCGACCAAAAAGGAAAATGAAAATGGTCATATGAATATTGCTGTTAATACCACGGTATGACAACAGAAAATGTCACGTGCATAACATTAAAATAAACAAACTAAAAACTACGACAAAAACTTAAAAGAAGTGTACACACCCACCATTCCAAGTTATCAAAATTGACAAACATACAAGTGAAAATTTCATGTTACAGTGCCATTAATGGCAGATGGGGTTTGTTACATATTACTGTATCGTGCTGAAGACGCCAAGTTGTTAACAGCAGTTTTTAAACTTTAGATTTTTTTTGGGGGGGGGCTAACATGCATTTGGTCATCATACACTTACTTGAATTTGTAAAGCCTCCCTCAGCCCTTCAAAATCCACCAGGATTTGGAGGATTCTGCAGGATTAAAGAAGAGCCTAGCCACTGTTACTTCACACGGTTGGATTGACCTGGGAAAGTTAAAGTGCAAGGAATATGCTGCTGGTTTCCTGCACAGTGAAGGCTTTTGGGGGTTTCAAGAAGACTCCAGGAATGCCTAGCAAGTTAAGGTGAAAGGTGAATGCAAAACAATCAGAAACTCTTTGGGGGAAAGCACTGAAATGAAAAACCATACTTTGCTAAGCTGGACCTAATTTCATAGCCCTGAAAAACATAAATTATCGCTAGGCATACTAAAGTGCTGAGCAAATATCAGCTATGAACCAGGCCCAATTTCATGGCTCTATTTAACGTTAGCAAAAGTATCACCGCCAACTAGATGTACAGCATAAAATTCTGTGCTTGTTGGGGTATAGCGTATTTGCAGGTTAGTGACAAAAAACCCCCTCATAAAAGGATTCTTGCTTACACGGTCACTGCAGAATTCTTTTGGTGGTGCTGCAAAAGCAAAATGTGGTGGAATTCTGTGGCTATCAAAGTCATAAAATTGGTCTCCACTCACAAGCAACATACGTTTTGCAGTGCTGTGGATGGTATCCCATTTCGCCAGACAAGTATAGCCATGCTTGCATTACCTGGCTGTGGTCTGAACTTACACACAAGTCTATGGTAGAAGCTGAGCCACAGCCAAGCAATCTTCCTGTACTTAGCACCATGAAATGGGCCCCAGGCTTCACACTTGCTTTACCGCAGTCTCTTAATGGCTATGTCCACATCAACTGGCAGCAACCAGAAGTACACACACACACATCTATACGAAGTGGCTTCCAACGTCCCAAGTCCCACTTCTGAACCAAGCCTAAATCTTTATATATCAACACCATCACGCTGTGCGGGATACATTTACAACTTGCAAATTTACTTTTCCAACCTAAGCAGTGTCTCACTCATGCACTCAACATGCATCCTGCTAGGTACCAGCACATACTGATTATGACAGAGTAACACTCCCCATTTGACTGGCTTCTGGTCATCAGGAACAGCCCAACAGGCATCAGGAACAGCCCAACAGGCGTAGGCTTTCAGGGAGAAGACTGAACTTGTTGTTTTTCCACAAGTCTAAACATATGACTAAACACTTTTCTTCAGGGCTAGTTGCTAAAGTCTTCTCAAATACCCTGAGAAATAAAGCTGTCAAAAGGGAGGATTCCCTTGCATGTACAAACATGAAACAATCATCCATAACTCTACCAAGTAATGACATCTCGGCACATTTCAGACTTCACTATTTACAGTTTTGATGAGCTATTCCTGTTGCTAGTTATTTGTGACAGGCTTGGAAGCGCAACTGACACAACATGCTACAAATATCAATTAAATTACAGGCTATATTACAATACATTTATCACTAGGAAACAGGATTTTTGAAGGGCACTGCAACTGGAGAATTATTTTATCTTCCATCATGATATCCTCTGTGTAACTGCTAAACCCATAGTTACAAGTTCATGCAGCTTGCCACTTTATTCAGGACCCTGAGCTTACGCCAAGCGTGTGGATTCTCAGACAAAAATGACTTTAAAATAAACCATCGTGAATACAATCAAGAAATTCTCAAACACGGAACGACCCAGCAACACCCAAAAGTGCACTCTTGTAGTTTATACAACACCTGAATAAATCCCCATCAACGGATTGGTGGGCTGGCGTTTACATGTCATTGACTAATTCGGTTCACTCAACAGTGCAACTCTATTCAAAGTATCAATGAACGACATGTGTGCACAGAACATGTAGGGGCAGTGTGGGATTTTTTTCACAAGGGCAAAGAGTGCTGTACCACACAAGCAGTACCACAGGGAAGGCACAGTTGTGGCTCTTCAAACAGACAAAATTTTAGTCGCGACTGGGAACATGAGAAGTTTGTGTCGCGCTTTTTACGCAAAACTGAGAAAGTAAAACAGCGACTGGTACACGAAGAGGATTTGTTCAGGAGTTGCATAAGGCCCATAATGTATGCTCCACACTTGTGCAATGGACAGAATAATGCAATGAGGCGACAGACTGAGTGTCCCAGTCCAATGACGTGAAGCCAAGTGGATTGGAACATTCAATCATGTCACTGAAGGTAATTCTTCCTCACCACAGCACTCTGACATTCATTATCTGTACATCATCCCATTCATACAGGTGCTTGCCTTATTATGTGTAAGAAAACCAGGTAACACAACTCAGGTTGCTCTACATGCATAGAATGCAGTGAGGAGTTTAAGGGAAATTCTCTCTTTAATACTGTGGGTAATTTACATGCTCATTTCTCTTTGCGTAACTTTGATCACACCGCAACCAGGCTTGCTTCATATGCTAAAACTGGGCCAGCAAATTGCAGAGTGTTCCATGGAAGCTTTATTTCGGCAGACCTGACTTCGAGACATTAAAAAAATTTGCCACCTCTTTTCACAGGATCATATGATCACTTGCTGCCACACAGATTCAGTCGGACCAAGTGCAAAATACCACCTCTGTTAAGCTCTGACCTGACAGTACTTTTCCCTCTTGTTGACAGACCAAGCTCTGTTACCAATGCAGTGACTGCTGCTATAGGATGAGTTACTGAGGGGACCCCCCCAATGCAGAAAAGAGCAACGGTGCTTTGTGCTTGACATTAACCAAGGACCAGCACAAACCTGCAAAGAGGGTGTCAAGGAGACAACCTTGCAAACCAAAAGAGCTGAATGCAGGTGACCAATGTCTGATGACAGTCGGTCAGAGCTACTGTCCACAGTGGGTTTTCTGCCAATGCTTGAATTGTGAGTTACAGGTGCCTAGCATAAGATGAGATTGCAGTGGCCTTGGCCAAATTGTATTTCAACAAACAATATCATCCACTATCATGTACACAAAAGGTCCAGAACAGGTGGTCAGTACAGTTTGGAAGTACCCACTGCTAAATACTGTTCTAGCTACATGTATACTCTTTCATAAATCTATACAAACAACACACATCAACATTTATATGGGCTTATACAGAAGTGTGGTGACGTATTTCTTTCTGTAACGATGCGTAGCACTCAACACCATGACACCATCCTGTGTAAAAAAAAACACAAACAAAAAGCAATGATTGAAACTGGGGCAAAAATATTACACTATTGACAAACCTCATACTTGGCAATGAGCAAACAGCATCATAGCAAGCAACCAATTGCAGTCGGAAATAGAACAGAAAATTCTTATGGTAGGTTTTTGCTCTTGGCTGTTGTGTTACTATCCATTCTGAGTAGAAGAACCTCTTCACTGGCAAAGAAAAGATAGTGAACAGTTTTTCAACTAGGTTTGAGCATACTCTCAGCCTGCATGCAAAGACTGCACATTCTGATGGAAATTGGCTGCACATTCTCAGCACGACCTGTGCCAAAGGTCTACGAGCCTGAACACGCATGCTGGGAGTTCCTCTCGAGGGACATCGTTTCTGAGCACAAGTATAAATACACCATCTCTTGCTCCTGCAGGCAGCCAACAAGCACTGGCCATTGCTTTGGGCTTGTTAGCGTGTGGACACGACCTCCAGTTTACTGAAGCAGGTGTTTTAGCACATGACCATCAAGGCTGCAGGTGTATCGGCTAACCCTCATATGCTGAAGTCACTTTTGGGTCAGTTGGTACAAAGATGCACAGCTGTGTCATATTGTGCACTGCATCAACTATCCCTCACCAGAATATCAGGTTGCACTTTCGTGCTGTGAAGCATCTGTGCCACACTGTTTCATTTGCATAATTGTGCAATAAACCAACTGCAGTGAAGAGGACTGCACAAAAGAGCCTGTGTCATTTTGTGCGGGCAACCTGTACATATTTGTGTTCCATGCAGAAGACACATGAAACAGAGTGACTGCTGGCATGTGTATATTTGTGCTGTTAAACCAAAAGAAGGTTAACACATGGCTGGTTTGCTCACACAACTTTTAAAACGGAGTTTTGGATGTAGTATTAGTGAAGGGCAAAACCTATACGTCACCCCGGTGCAAAATTCCATTCAAATGTTAACACAGAGCGACACAACTCAAATTTTCTGTGTTGGCTGGAGGGTGCAATGACTGATCCTTTTCAAACAGCAAACCTGACACTTTCACACTGAAGCAGTCCTATATAACATAAACCAAATGTCAGTACCTTTATTGACAATGCGTAGAGATGATTCAACATCACATGATTTGGTTCAGGTAGAAGGGTTGGCTCGTACTGAAACACAAACACAACCACAAATTCACGGTCATTAACCTTCCACAAAGGCCATTTTGACCCACTTTACTGGAAATTCTTAAATAAACTACATGATAGCGGCCCATTTGCAGAGATGAGCTGTAATTAAATGCAGTGATAGCAACCAATAGGAAGCATGAGACTTTTCTACACAAAAAACCGGATCACCAAGAACTGACTTTCCACAATAATGGCACCTACGGTCTGACAAGAAGAGTCCAAGGCACGAGGAGACACCACCCATACATGCCAGACAATCTGTGACATCCAACCTAACAAGACCACCGACATGTACAGGCCTGAATCAGCACCAGGTTAAACAAAAACAACAATGGTCAGGCTTGTAAACGCTGCCATTGCCCGACCATGTGGTTTGTTTCTCTTCAAGAATACACACTGCCCAATATGAAACCACCGTGCTCAATACAGCTGAATAGTCAGCCGTTCAAATGGCCATTGGTGCTACATCTGGGTAGATGCAATTAGCTTTACTGAAACCATTAATACACCACCACTTCTGACAGCAATTGGTGTCTAACTTTGAAGCACCCTTTTGATAAAACCTTCATCCATCACTTACACACGCAAAGAAATTCAATGAAATTATAAAACCACACATCCCATGTTTTGCAAAATTTACTCTCCCTTTCCAACGCAGGCCACAACTGAATAGACCACTCGCTCACGGGGTCAAACACAGCTCTCTCCCACTTCTCAAATTTGAGTTGAGTTTTTTTTTACACAAATGGCTATCAGTGGGCCTACCTGTGCCCCAACATCTTTGTTGAGTAAGACATTGAGTAGGTGAGGTGGTAGGAAGGGTGGGCCGCTGGCATTGGTTTGCATCTCCCTGGTAGGGATCTCCTGACCGTAGCTGCCGGGCGGGGAACCAGACAAGTCTGTACCAAAGAAATGAGAAAGGAAAAAATCCAAAACATGGGTTACGACTGTATTTCCAAGTTGACAGCAGTGGTTTTTGGGGGGGCTTGGCGTTTAGTTTGAGAGTTGGGCCTTGTTTTGGCACGGTCAGTTGGGTTGGGTTGGTTCGAGTTGGGTTGGGTTGAGTTGGGTTGTTTCACCTTGGGTTGGGTTGGGTTGAGTTTGGTTGAGTGCAGTTAGGTTGGTTCGGGTTGGGTTGGATTGGTCTGAGTTGGAATTGGATAGGAGTTAGGATTGGGGGGGGTATGGTTGGACGAGGGTTGGGTTGGGGTGTGGTGAGGGTCGGACTCCAGCACGACCCCCACCTGACTTGACTTCAGCTTGGTTTGTTTGAGCATGATTACTGCATCACAATAGTACAATAAAGATTCTACAGATTCATATCCTGAAAGTACCCACACCAAAGCCAAAGGCAAAATCCAGAAATATTCCAGAGTGGAAGTTGCTTTTTTGGGGTGATATGGGAGGTACACTTCTCTAATACAAGTATTCTCCATACTGCTCAGGCTTTTCATGAATCAAGGCTTCTTTGGAAAGTGCTTGTGAAGGAATCAAATTGTAATGGAAAGAACACCTCCCGGCAGTAAGCCCCCAGAATGAGCCTTCTTGGCATACTCACTTCTTTGCTTTGTGCCGCTTGTTGACGAATCTATTGCTAGTGCGTCAAATACCTCAAAGTCTGTTTTTGACACCTTGAGAACATTGTTGATGGCACCAAATTCATTAGCTTTGGTTGGCTAAATGAGAAAAACAGAACACCAATATTCTTGTAACATTTGAAAAATGGCTCATGTTCCAAAATTCATATTTCAATTATACTGACAAGTCTTAACTGCTAAGATTAAAATCACAAGTGCTTGCTATGCTAACTAGCTGAAGGGACTTATCAAATTCTGATCTATTTCTCGGTCTGCTAACTAGAGTCCACTGTCAGGAGCATCCCCTCAACAGTCAGCCATTTGAACTTTAAAGTGCCAAATGACCTGAAAAAGATGCACATATCACTCACTGCATATTCCAAAAGTAATTTAGAACATTGTTTGAAAGAGACAGAAACTGACAAATATATGTAGTGTCCATATATACAGAGAGAGAGAATCAACCAAAGGATCAAGGAGAAAAGCAGATATTGGCAGCAGGTGTGGTGACTGTAACCACATCTTAAATAGTCTTCCTGCAAAAAAATTCAACTGGGTGTCAGAATCTACTCTTTCAGTTTTCAACTTAAAAAAACAAACAAACCTTGTTTCTACATCAATACGTGGGATTTTGGTCAAGAAGTGACAATAAAAAAAAGTTCATGCTATAGTACGGGCAATAATGAACTACCCTGTACCAAAACCTTGGCACTTTTTCAGTGTTTTTTGTCTGACCTGTTTGGGATTATGCTGCCACTGGCCATCCACATAGTACTTGTATTGGTAGTCACCCTCAGGCAGCTCTAATATGGTAGTAAAATCTCCATGACTGTAATAAACGAGCCCCAAAGCAAAAACAAAAACAAATGCTAGAGCACAAGTATATCAACGATTGAAAGTAGAAGCATCAGACGGCATCGTTTGTTAAAATGGTTTGCCTGCCCAGTGTAACAAGATCCGACAGGTCAACTCTCCCCAGGACCAAACAGCCTCAGAGTGGTTGTGGTTGCCAGCCACCACAAGATCCAACAGTGACATTATTCAATATGACCAGCCCCCATTGTCTCAACACAGTTAGTTTGTTCGGCTGCTGTTGATGGCCAAGTGAATCAGACTTCTTCACCTGATGCACCTTGCTGTGTCAGGCAGGGTAAGGGCCATTCTGGCATTTTATAATCAGATTGAAAGTTGGTCCTACCTTTTAGTCAGTGGTATTTTGGAAGTCCATTGGTTGAACGAGCCTGATATGAAGACGTTCTTCCCGCCTCCTTCCCATTTGAAGACCACCGGGCTGTGTTTGTTCTCCATGCCCGGTGACTCCATCATTTTCACTCTCATTCTCTGATCTGGTAGCTCCGATTGTCGATTCAGCATTTCCTGAATGTATGATTACATGAACACACAAACAACTGATGGGCCATTCTGTATGAATGGATTTGTCCACTGGAAGTGACTGGACAAATGGAATTCATTTGAGCGTAGGCAATATCGTGAAGAAAAAAACAGTGCTGGTTATGGGATCTTGCTCTTTTGGCAAAATTCACACTGTCAGGGCTTCATTTTAAAGGAGCATGATTGCGCTCGCGCTCCTCTGCGCTCCTTAATGTTTTCCAAGGAGAGCAAAAAATAGCGCTCCTTAAAAATTTTAGGAGTGCATGTTTTTTCAAACCAGCAAATGTTGATTTATGAGTCCAAAGATTAAATGTATTAAAACACAAGGGCTGGTGATCAAAGTCTTTGAGTTGTGTGCGTGTGCTTGATGAATCCCGCATCGCAACACACAAACGTGATAGCGCATGTGGGTGGGCCTAGTGCGCGTGTGCGAGCCAATGGAATTCCATGCATGCACGTGGCCGCGCCGGGCCGACCTCTCTCCCAGAACAGGTCGTGTTCAGGCACTACGTTCTCGGCCGTTTGTGAACAGCAGAAGTGAGTTTGTGAAAAACCCTGTAGTGGCTGGAGATGGTGTGTGATCCTGTTGCGTGTTCGCGTGGTTCGAGCGTGAGAACAACGTTCGCTTGTCGGGAACAGAAAATATGCCACAGGAAAGAAAAAAGTCTCTGGTGGGTAATGTGCCCGGTGTTCTATACGAAAATGCACTGGTCGAAGTAGTATTGTGAGCGCAGGAAGGGATGATGAATACAATCTGCAGTGGACGTACAATACGTTTTAAAATACCAAAAGAAAGGATGCACATGCGCAATAAGTTCAGAGCCCCTGTAGCGGCGAAATGGATTGTTGGGTGAGCGAGGAGACTAGTCAAATATGCACCCACGTCCACAAAACCAATGTTCAATGAAAGACTACATGACGGACCCACATGCACGCCCGCGAACATGCAGTAGATGCCGTGGATCGAGCGAGTTCAAACGGGAGTGACATTGGAGGTGGATTTTCGATAAAATTTTCTGCAAATACGTTAACCATGGACATGTTTACCGATTCATAACCACTGCGTTGACTGATTTTTGGCATAAGGGACATTTGGACGAAATTTTAGCAAGCTCCATCAGGTAAAAAAAAATGAATAAGATTGTAGAAATCCATACATTAATTTTTCATTATTCTCTTCGGTTTATTAGAAAATGGGTGCATCAGTCTAAGTCACAGGCTGAATTTATCTTGGAGCCCTCTAAGACTTATCATTCCTAATCACAATCCAAACTCCATTGCATCACATGTTGTCTGAATATATGAAGTGAGAAGAGAGATGGTTTAACTGATTAAAGTTAACTCATTGAACTCAGTAAAAGAAGTTAAATTGCATTAATTTTATTGAGTATATTTACATTAACTTGGTTTTTGTTAGTGAGAGCAAATTGCTGCCCTTAACACACTTTGTTGATTTAAGGAGAGCAATTTTTAATCGCTCTCCTTAAATCAACAAAGTGAATTACGGAGAGCGATTTTTAGCTCTCCTCGTATTTATTAAAATGAAGCCCTGCACTGTCCTAACCTGCAACAACTGACTGAATGTTCACTACCACCACGCCTGGATCGGAACACACAATGTTCAAAGCAACTCAATGCTGTTGGGCAAGAATTCCCTAAAGCGATTTCAGATGGTACGTGGTAGTGACCATGCGAGCCAGTTTATATCCATAGTTCATTCATAATATGATAGAGAGTTTGTTTGATTTTTTTTCTTTTTCATGGAACTCTGGAACTGATTCTCAATGAAGCTGTGATTCTTGGTTGGGAAAAAAAATCAATGCTGCAATGGCTGAATTGCCCTAAGTATTATCAAAACCTCACCGCATCACCAGTGTGGCTCAATTGCTAAACAGAAAATGAGTGGTGTATGCATTTGCAGGTGGTACTGAAGTCAGGTACCCCTTCTAAAGTAAGACACAGCGTACCCAGGTATCCATACAAGAAACCAAACCCTAAAATTCAAAGAAAAAAGTTTAGCCCCCCCCCACCAAGTCTTTTGTCTCTGGTCAGCACATGCATCAATTTCAAGCATGCACGTCAGTCTTTTTTTCTCTGTAAGAGCTGCAACAGCGCCCTCTACTGCCGCCTCCTGAGTATTTTGTGGGCAGCTTGATCTTTTACTCAGGGTGATAGATCCTTATGAGACTTGTGTCTGCAATCGTCCGAACGCCGCATCAATTCCAGACCCAGAGACATACTATTGGGGGGGGGGCTTATGTGAAATGCACTCCAACTGACAATTTGGGTCTTGCCTGAAAAAGTCACAAATAACCTTTGCGAACAAAAGTCTCTCATTTGATCTAAATGTACATGCAGCCTGATTTTGCTTTAAATTTCCCAAAAAGAACATTTCAAATTAGTTTTCTCATAGTCTACAAATAATCTGTAAATTTGTAATGAGTACCTGGTCTCAAATTAGAGCGGTCATATACTTGAATACCAGACTGATGCACATCCAATGAGAATATCTTACGTGCTAAGAAAACAGGTGTGAACCACTTACAAGAAAAACAAAAATGCATGATACTGTGGCTGGTAAGCTGCTTTTTGAAAGCAAATATTTTGCATGCTTAGAAACATTCTGTTTATCAGCTAGGTGGAATTAACCCCAGGGAGATAACATACATGTACAGTACATGTACCTTCAAGGTTCCTGGAGGCAAGTCCAAGCTATCGTCCATGGATGCCTGCTGGAGTATGCCACCCTTGCCGTGGACAAAGTCAAAAGTGCTGGGCGTCTCCTTTGTCGGCGACAGGGGTCCCCCAGGGTCCTTCCCTTCTCTCTTGCCACCAGTGTTTCCCATGTTGCCTTCAAGCTGTCAGTGTTCCCTGTAAAATAATAACCGTTCTGGTGGTAGAAATGAATTAAGGGAGTTGGGAAATCGGGTGAAAATATTGAGGGAAACGAAATAATACAATGAAAAGGTGTTTTAGATCCAAATAGCTAGCACCAGATTGATGAAAGACAGTTACAGAAAACAAAATAAAATCAGGGCAACATCACTTGCAAAGTTTCATATTAGGCAAAAAGGGCTTGAATATGCAGTGTTTTAAGGATTTGCTTCAACATTTTGAACTGAAAGTGAAGCCAAGTGATTCAAACTCAGAGCGAAAGCATATCTGCAATGGTTCATGGCCAATATACAACTGGGCTGTTTTCATACCAGTTTTGAGTGATTTTTGAGTCATGGTCAGTTGAATAAATTGATCTTCCATGTCCAGTCATTCTCCTAATTTTATGCTCTACCCCTCCCCTTCTCATTTTTTTTTTGCAATCTCAGCCAAATCTAAAAACAAAAAAAATCAAAAGCATATCGCTACAGACTCATGGCCCAATTGACATGATCAATTATTACATGGCCAGCAATATTTTCACGGGAGGCAACACCCAATGGTTACTGATTCAATATCAAATGTTTCAGCCCAACTAAAGTTGGGCATGCCCAACTGTGCCCACGAAGTTGGATCTGCATGGGCACAGGACACAGTTGGGACGGTGGTTACAACTGAGAAGTCGTAACCACATGGATAAACAATGATAAATGGAACATCATACATGAAAATATCCAGCACCATTGACTACAGGCTCATGACATATGGAGGTCTGCAATGAAGCGCTGGAAAAGCTGCGCTATCAAAAATGGCTGTTTGCTCTTTTTGAATATTTTATCATACCAATATCACTGAATGTAGATCATGTAGGGATGCGTGTGGGTTTAAGACTTTTTTCAGTAACAAGTCTGGTATCATTGGAAAGAGCAACTAAAGAGAAGTTTATTGGTGCATAAATCATCTTTATAGCTTTTACTACAGAGGAGTTATGACTGTTTGAAGTAAACTGGTACATGTAAGGGTACATGTGTTTGTGGCTTCATTTGCATTCACATTTACATATACATGTATCTCAGTTGAATTAAGTAAAACTGGCACGCTTTTCTTGAAGGATTCCTAAGTTACTATCACTAAAGAAATGAACTGTAAATGCAGCCTACAAATAGCCATATTTTATGGATTTCAAAACTAAACCCCTGCAGAAGTATAATGTAGATGTACATGTACATCTGTACTGTCATGCAAACTTGAAATTAGCCTGGGAACAGTTTGGAGCACATTTCTAATCGTACAAACACAAAACCAAAAATGTGAAGGAGTTTTACAACCTGCTGCTCTTGCTCAGTAGGAATATTTAATTTGATCAAAAAAATAACATGAATAAAGGAAAGAATTTTTACATGTAACTTGTCTGATTGAGAAATTGGGCAGTGAAATCAATCATGTCAATACAGTCATTTCCAAGGATCCTGGAAAGTATTCAGTCGGAAAACAGCTCAAATAATCTTCAAAGTCCAGTTAAATGTGGTCAGTACTCCAACTTGTGTGCAGGAGATACAAAAAAAACAATAATTTTCAAAATCTAAGTTTGTAATTAGGACTTATAGGACCAACGAAAGTCAAGACGACTCTTTTCCTAGTTCCGTATCGGTTTAACCAGTTCTTTGCTCATAAAAGTAATCTAACAACAAATCCATTTTTCAGCCAGAACCACAGTAACAAGCTGATTTTCTAATGAATTTTTAATTTAGTGAAACTTCGTTCACATACATGTGCAAGTACATATACCAGAATTCCAGTGAATTAAAAAAGAGAATTTGCGTAACTTTGAATTGACTTTTTTAGCTGCACAATGAGCTCCTAATGATACTCTTATGCCCCAACTATAGCATAAGTCCCAACTATAGCTGGGACAGTCCCAACTGTAGTGCTGTAGTTGAGCTGGCCCAACTATTGTTGACCAAATGTCTGTGGGAAATGTCTCAACACTATCTAAGTCAATGTGTCTCACATTTGACACAATTCAGCTAAAATGTGGCACTTCATCTGTTCATCTAGCCTTATGACCCATGACGTGACATTTGTAAACAAAATTACTTTGACACATGTTGGGCACATCATGCACCCGTGACCTCTCTGCAGTAGTTGGGCCGGCCCAACTGTAGCACTCTAGTTGGGACGCGCCCAACTATAGTTGGGACTGATACCATAGTTGGGGCGTAACAATACTATACCCAAGCTGCACAGTGAACCCACTGCATCACATTCAAATCAGTTACGCATGTGTAGTGCGCATGTGAATGTACTTGCAAGTATTGCATGCACGATCCGAAACTAGGAAAAGTCCGTTCAGCTTTTGGCTAATGTTTGAAAAATGGAGACTTCAAACGTCATTTTGATGTGATGAATATTCAATGCGAGAGTTTATATGGCTGTGGAGTATGAAAAATATTTGGAATCACATGTATTGAGCAATGTTTTCCCCCCCCCCCGATTATGGCAAAGCATCTAAGTATGTCAAAATGGGAGTTGGAAATCTGGCATCAATTCCTCTTCCAGAGATTTTCTCAAGACAAAATTTTTTACAGGAAAGTTATATTTTACAATTGTGCAGCCCAAATCAATTCTAACATAAAATATACAAGTTTTTCTACCAGAGCCTGGCTCCTCAACAGTGCTTACGGTGCTTAGGTCATGGTTTAGAGGAAACGAACCAAAGAAGTCCCACTGTCCATTTTCAAACCCTCATTATTTAACTCATTAACTTTCCTTTCCTAACTTTCCTTAACAATCCACGATTTTATACGATTTTATACCCAGCCAGAAATGAGACCGAAGAAGACAGAACCTGTGTGTGTAGCAGTGCTACATGCTACACAGAATGTTTAGTCAGGTGATATGCAATAGGATATAGGTACAGCCGATCGGACGGTCTAAGAACCAGACCTTCAAAGTGCATACTAATGCAAGACGAAGACGCAAGAAAAGTAAGGGGCCGCGGCGTGTAGCAAAAAGTGCTACACCATAGACTTGTGCACAAGTACCCGCTGTTACTCAGTGCCACACATGAGTCAGACATGTCAAGGAAAACGTGCAATCAAGTTTCGCAGGTGTTCTCTTCTGTTCTACGCGTATGCAGATATGTGCTGCTTTCACAGCGTACCTGTGAACTTCTGGTCATCAATGCGCATGCTCAGTTCTGCAGCAGTGTAGCGGTACTACAAGGAAGACCGTGTGGATTCGCCCGTACATTTTTGGCTGCATATGCAAACCTGAACAATATATCACGTGCTACAATCAAGATGGCGGCCTCCATGTCACAGTTGTTGCCTTGCATTTGCCTTGATGAGGCCCTAAAGTCATTTTCCCTCATAAAAACTCATATAGGCCTATATGACATAAGTTTACAAAATTAAGTTCACATGTAGGCCTACAACTTAGTCATGAGCATGTTTTTCTATTCAGAATGGGGCATAGGCGCATAGGCCTAGGCCTAATTCACAACATTGACGATGACTTTCGTGGGAATTCCTATTCCTTCCTCCTCCCAGAACTGTGGGGTCCTACCCCCAGTGTGGGGTCCTACCCCCACAACTGTGGGGTCCACCCCGCTGGCCGCTCCCATGAACAGCAGACGTTGGACCCCGGCCACAGTTCTAGCATGTGTTTATACTATTAAGCTCCATGGTTCGATCCATTTAGATCCTCCACAATGAAAATGACCACATTTGTGTAGTGACGTGACAGATACCTGTAGGCCTACCATACCAGAAACCCGCCATATCCATGCATTAACGATGACATGCACGATTATCATGGATAGGCTAGGCCTACCCACAGAGGTAGAAATAAATACTACTGAGTACCTCCATACCATCATGACCATGGCCTACCTAACGCAACGCCTTCAATCGTCAAGAATAAACATCCGTAACATGCGCTGCTAATGGCTGCGTATTAATACCCCAGAACTGTGGGGTCAGCTGAATAGAGATCAGTGGGTCCGACCATGGAGGTAGAATCACATTCTACCTCCATGGTCCGACATCCACGAGCAGAGCGCACGTCGGACCCCACAGTTCTGGGGGTAGCTGTGTAAGTGGTAAGTTGGCCACAAAAATGCAAGCAAAGTAGCTAGACTTACCTGCTAAAATCTAGTTGCAAACGTTTTGAGGAAAACCCTACATTTCCAGCTTTTTTTTACCGCTCAAGTCGTAGCCCCAGGCCCTGGGTACTTACTCCACAATATTCATGACCTTAACCTCAAATTCAACCTCTTTCAAGATTTTTTAGGGAGGGTCGATTATTTTTAGACTGGTTCCCGCCCCCTACATAGTCTCCAGACGTCTTATAGGCGTCCTCCCAATGTACACACGTACATGTACAGGGTGCAGACCACTAATTCAAATGAGAATTTCTGTCCAGCTCATTAGCATTAAAAGTGCCCCCCCACAGTATCTTTTGAAAAAGGAGATTGTTTGGCCCCCAAAAGGATGAGATTGTGTAAAATATTGCAGGGATCAACTCCCGGGGTCTTTGAGCTTTCATATGAGAGCAGAAGGGCTAAAAACTACGGTTGAAAAATGGTTGTAAGTGCCCGCCGCGAGAAAGTTGAGGGTTGCCATTTAATTTGAAAAATGGCTGCAATCAGACTTCGGAAAAATCACTTTTTGGGGGGGTGATTTTGTTTTGTGGGAATAATTAAAAATGTAATTGGTTAACCCACAAAAAATTGAAACGAAATTGAAAGATAAGTGACCAGACAAGAATTGCATTTGTGTTTCAGAAATCTCCTGGATGTTGGCGTGCATGCTATTGGGCCCCGAACGGTGCTGATTTTATACTGTTTTCAATGGGGCTTGAATTAGTGGACTGTACCCTACAAATACCGTCATTGTGCATGTGTACGGGCCGCTTTGCACCAACGCGACGGAGTCATTAATATTTTTTGATCAGGGTTAGTTTTTACAATAAGACATGCCATAATCAGGAGGAATCACAGAAATATTTCTATAAATCCCGAATTGCGGACTAGAATTTTGTTCATAGCAATCATATATTCCGTATTATACTGATTTTGCGTTTGGTGGATAAATTACCACACTGTGATCAACTTAGATTTAGCAGATATAGGTACTTGTGTTTTATTCACCTCCCTGCTGCTGCATTGCTGACAAAAACCTACTCACACACATTAAACTGCTGGACCCTATAATAGTGACTTTTTTCTTTTATAAAAAAAAAGGTACACAGAACCCAGGGCACGGTTTCGAAACAGAAACACATGCAGGGTATAGACCAGTCCAATTACTTTTGAGCACTTCATTTAAACTATATAATAAAATGTACCATATATGTACGATTCTACGTCGTATGTAAAACGTAAATTTTAAAGATGACCATCTATTTTTGTGTCCACGTGTAGCTACAGCATAGTGCAAGAACAGGTCTGGAATACAGAAATTCAACTAATTCGTTTTTGACTCACTGAGCTAGCTCTGCATGGCCGGCCATGCATGCCATGCCCATGGCATGGGTTCACAAGTACACATTTGTTTGCTTTAGCCTTCTCTTAGTTTTGTTTTACTCGAGGGGAAGAATATCACAGGTGTTTTAATAGGCCTACTTGGGCTTACAGCAATGACGACACGAAAAAATACAGCTTCCACCATGCCCCAGCCTCCCCCTCAGTCTTCAAGTTTAAAAGTTTATGAATTAGACTGGTTTCTGCCTCATAATTATAAGGATAAAGGCACTTGAAGCCAGTCTCTATACCACCCATAATTACGGCGTAGAATCCATGCATCTAAAGGTGAAATGTAAACAAGCCAAAATAGTGCACAGGTTATTAAGTAGGCGCAGTGCATGCTGATGGCATTGGCCTTTTGGTGCCGAAGGAAGGGGTGATATCCCGAGTGACTTGGACAGGCTACAAATTAAGCCATAAATTCAGAACTGTGAACGAAGGTAGGCTATCAAATTCCACTGCACCACACATTTCATTTTTACACGAGCTCGTGCAATTTGATTTTGCGTTATCTGAATTAGCCGAGTGCGTAGAAAAGGGGCCTCAAAAAGTCGTCATTACTTCCGGTGAGTTCCGGCGAGGGGTGGAGATTTAAAGGACACATTTATTCATTCATCGTCCGCTGATCTGTGAAAAATGGACTTTGACAGGTAAATGGTCAGTAATGACAATGATGGTAACAATGCAAAGTTTCCAAAATCATGAATGCTCTATGAAAATAGAACATTTTGTGAGACTATCGCCATGATCACTTGATTGCTTAGAAATGTGGATAAAAATTATCATTTTTGGCTCTTGAAAAAGTAATTATTCTCCGGCAGTACTAAACAAAGCCAATATTTTTACATTTCAGTGATTTAACAAGAATGCTAATTGAATTTAATTACGAATCAATGATAAAATATTATCAATGATGTTGCTTTTGCTATTTGAATTATTTCTCTTCTTTAACATTAGATATTTCAGAATGTACATGTACTGTACTGTGGTCACTACCCTTGCAGAAGATGATACGTTGGGTGCCATTGGTCGATCTGCATGATCGCTCAATCTTTGCACGATCTATTGGTCTCATTGTAAGATTAAGTGATCATTCTGCAATCAGTCTTTCGCCTTTTCTTTCTGATTTGTGAAAGATTGTTTGAAAAAAAAGCAGTAAAGTAGATTTCATACTGGATCAACGGCTCGTGAAATGTGATTATGCTGATTAACTGATCGCACCCAACAAATGCATTTCATTTTGATGCAGTCCATGACAAACACTGTGGTCACTACCCTAGCAGAAGCTATATGGTACAGCTGTACCCTCACAGGAAAAGAGCTAGTTCTGTACAGTGTTGTAGTGGAGACCTCTTAAGACCATCATAAGACCCCACAAGACCCTCACAAGACCTACACAAACCCCCAGTCTGAAGTCAAGTCACAAGCTTTTCAAATGTATGGCAACAAAAGCATTCCTTCGTAACGCTGATAACTGTGGTCTCACAAATGGTGTTGTTCGTGTGCATCATCTTGGTCTGGACCACAACTATGGCTCACTAGGAAATGAATATTCGTGTGAATTTTCCCTTCTCCACGAGTGTTTGCACTGTCAGCATGTTGCTTTAAACTCAGGCTGAATCTGAGTCTGTTGTCTTGAACTGGGCCTAGGTTTCTCCCTATTGGAAAGATTTCAGAACTCCCTGTTAATGGGCATAGCCGTACATGTAGCTCTAGAAGCCCGTTTTGGACAGGACCTTGATTTCTGCCATAGATCCTGCCCCCCCCCATGTATGTCAAAGCAGGGTTGGGTGTCTGTGACAGAATGCAGGGGAATGGGGTAACTGACAGTTTCTATTTACAGTCATATTTCTAACAAATTTACAGGAAATGGTTTGTTGTGAATTAAATGGAAGTGGAGATTCTGTACACTTCTTTTGGTGGGATTTGACGGGAACAGGTCTGAAGTTTGATGCCACACACAAAGGGCACTTGAAAGCTTTTTGAAGGGGTTTCTGACTTTTTTCAGCACACTTTATGCTCACGTTTTACTGGGCTACACTTTAGCTTCAGAATTTGTACATAAAACCCTGAGGAATAGTCCTTTGCATGAAGTGCAACCAAAGCAAAAGTGCCCGCATTCATTGTCAGAAAAATAGTGATAACACAGTGATATGGTTGGGGGGGTACGAATTGCCTGAATAGGTATCTCATTTTAAAATAGTTCAGAGAAATTCCTTAAAATACATACATTATCAAAAACTTTACTTTTGGGTCAAATAATCCAACGTGCAGTGAATATTTCACTCAAACCTGTAGAAACAAGAAAATTAAATATGTGCACAAGAGACTTGTTCATTAATTTTAAACTGAGGCAGACTGTATCGGTGTGCCATTTGCTTTATTTCATTGTAACAACGTACATGTGGAATTGATTCGTTACTACAGAAGTATAGTACGATAACAGTTCTTCCTCAGACCTCAGATTTGGTATTTTAGCAAAGTCACATAAATCAGTTTATTCATCTGAAATTGAAGTTTTCAATTCCTTAACATGTATGTAATTTAATAATTCATTCAGCAGTGACTTTCGAATTTGGTTGCAGAGAAAACACAACTTGCTTGCAACTACACGTAAACAAATCTATCTACATTAAATCTATTAAACCAAAAAAAAAATCAAATTGCATGCAAAATTCAAAGATATCAAAATAAATATTGCATCAATTAACTAACAATTATACAAGTATTACTATAATGGGTCACAAAGAAAATTAACAATAATAATTGGCAAGACAATTGTTGATTCCTGGATTTTTCATCATTACAAGGGATTATACACGTATGTAAATATCCTCTCAGTCTGTCAAGTGGCTGTGCCCAGTAAAACTACCATATTTCCCGGCTTCCACAATTTCTCATTCCAATGAGCTACTCGGATTCATTAAGAGTCAACAGACATCGCTGCCAATGCTAGCAAGAAAATCCATGAATCGTGCTTGACATACTTTAAGCTAGTTTAAGAGACACTGATTGCTCCAAAAAGACCAGGTCTCGATTTCATGGCAATGCTTGCTATAAGCAAAAAACTCCTCACAAACCATTGCAGACAATGCTGCACGAACACTTGGGATTGGATTTCACGGAGTAACCCATGGGTAATGCACATGAATGGATCCTGTAACGAAGGATTATAACCAGGAAGGTTAGTGCAGAATATCTGCACTCTACTTGAAGTACATGTACAACATGCTGATTGTGAGCATGGATTTCCATGGTTAGTGCAGCCATGAAATTGGGCCTTGCTTGCAAAGGAAAAAAGTAAGAGCCAAGTAAAATGTCTCCATGGAGTTCTAAGTCTGTACACACGAACCATTCTTACAGGGTTTCAGAAGACGTTCTGACATGCTTGACAATAAATTTACCAAACTGATAAAGGTGAACCTGGAAAACACAAGAACACCCCAACCATTTTGCATTTATCTAATAAATCATTTAATCAACAACAAATACATGTAGCTTGTCGGTGCAAAACTGAGTGATCACACAGTATCCCACACAAAGGCCATAAAACAACTATTAACACAAAGTTGCCCTGGGTGCAAGAGATACACTGCACATGTAGTGTAGCCTAGGTTGGACGACGTCTTCATTGCATTGTGACTGGCATCCTACCTAGGCTACATGTAATGCCTTCCAGTCATGTCATTGGATTGTAGAGTTCTGACAGTTGATTAATTCTTTCCAAATACTCCCATTTTAACCTTTGTGTAATAACAGGTTCCAATAGTATATTGCATCACGCAGCGTAACACCAATCTCAACAACTGGGATAATTTATACACCAAGTATCACTGTACAAATAAATTGCAAATAGTGGTTTTAGAACCCTTCCTATTAGTTCATTGACTCTAAGCATTGCCCTAAATAGTGCCTTTGCAATTTTTTTTTTTGGTGAATTTAACTATCTCTTGTTCACATTTGTTCCTACGCTCTTAGTTGTAGTGACTTACAACTTTTTCTTCCTCACTTAGTACAATTCATACAATACCTTGTACACACGAGTACCTCGAACTAAATGCCATTTTAACAATTATATTTATGTCAATATATGTCAATATACAACACAAACTTGTCTTTTCCTCAACCCTCTTATAATTAAAACTCTAACTTTCCAAATACTTTTACTAAGAACCGTCCTGAATCCTCTAAAATCCATCACTTTGCAGGAGCCCAATTGCTCATTTCTTACACTTTCAAGCATCATCTAACACCCATGTTCAGTTGCAGTGACCAAGGTCCATTTTCCAAAATCCTGGATTCTGAAGGGTCTTTGTGAGTTAGGGCTAGTTTCTGCCGGCGTAACAATTATATCACAATGCTGATATCAAGCAATCTTGATGTCTTCATGCACACACCTTTCTGTGCAAGCAGGGCAGAAGCCAACATTGTAATGCATAATGTATCACAACCGTGCAAACTGTTCTCAAGCCATCTCCATTTCAAATCCCCCAAGATGGTTTAGATGCATCAAATGCACTCAAAACATGCGCGGGCATTCTGGCTGTGTTTGCTAAGTTACTCACAGCCGTACATGCTAAATCCAGTCAGAAAGGTGGTTAACGTCTTTTTTTCTGGACTCGCACTAAACAGTGCATGGAATAACAGAAGCACATAAAGCTCTATACCTACGATTAATGACGAAAACATACCTCTACATTTCAAAAAGGTTAAATGTACTCTAGAAATCAGAGAGTCTTTGTGTCATGAACGTTCTCTGATGCAAATCACCATGTTTCCTTCTGATATCAAGGCAACAGGAAATGATCTTTGTCAAAGAAAAATTCATGCTGCAAGCTGATTAAGTAAAATAAAAAAAAGACCCCCCCATATCTTTGGTTGAAGAGTCCAAACGCCAGTATTTGCATCAAAATAGCAACAACACGCAGCTCTATAAACCAGTTGCATAAAAGTGTGAATGTTTAATTGCATAAATTGTACACATTTGAACAGGACGGCCTTTTTTACTACTCCACCAACCGGTACATCTTGTCATTTTGCAATTTCTTTTTTAAAGTTAACTACCAATAAACTGAAGACTGCATTACAAAACTGTTAATTTACTTGTGGAAGGCACTGATAATGTGAGGATAAACAAGAAGTTAAAGAAATCACAATTTGTGGAAAGCTAATGTGCCAATTGCATCTCATACTACGGTCTTTAAGATTATGATTCAGCCAATATATGCTAACAAATGGTCTCAAATGAAAAAGGTAACAGCTTTCCAAGAGAAATCTTGATTCTTCAATGCCTCTGCACACATGTACATTCAGCAATTTTCTACGACCTTGACCTACGGGAACTACATTCTACTTTTTTACGGTTAAAATATATTTACAAGTACTACTCCAATTCTTTCTGATTCGGCATATGAAGATTTTCTCTCCATTTCCCAAGTGCGCCATCCCAGCTCATAAAGCGGGTGCATTTTAGTTAAGCGTGAAGTTGGCAGCTATGCCTATATTGCAGTCGTACACAGACTATATGGTAATATACACCTAATCGACCAAAAACATCATAACGTCTTACTTTGCTCACATGTGCACTTTCATATGGGGTCTTGATGTGTGGTGTCCTTCCTCACTTGTACATGTACAGTACATGTATAGGAAAGCAAACATGTCAACAAAACCTGACATCATCATGTTACAGGTCTGTTATAATCATGAATTGTCTGTCTCATCAGCCTTTAAACTGGCCTCTGCACTGGAACAAAACTCATCGATGTTTGGGTTCCCATGTTCTGATTCTTAAGTTCTGTGCACTTTGACATGCAGGGTTTCAGTCCAGGATAAGCTGTGTGTCTTTATGGACCAACTCTACCAGGTAGTACACTGGGTATGCATAACTTTGTCTTGAAAAACAAAATCAAAAATCACATATCCACATCATGTGATAAACTGTACTCAACATACCAACAACTGTATGCTGTGAGATGGTTATTGTACAAATGAACCAACACGGAGTCCGCAATGAGGTTATTGTTTCAAAGGAACATAAAAAAAAAGAAAGAATAAGAAAACAGACAGGGAATAAGTCGGCATATACAAATACTTCCTGCATTCCTTTTCCTGACTGAGGACCCTGCTGCTTGCCCAAGTAGAACATGTCCAGCAGAACCAGAAACAACCAAATACATGTGGCTCATGTGCAGTCTTTACATGGTGGTGCCATTCTTTCTCAAAAACAGTCTGGGGGGAAGACAGGCTGTGCGGTTCTCTGCTTACAAATTTGTACACACAGTTGATGCACACTTGCACTGGTTTGGAAATAGCTGCATGGAGATGAAAAACAGCAATCAATGCAGGAAATCCTCCGAGCAAGGACCAAGCGAAGCAGGGCAATCGGGAAGAGGACAGAGTGCAAAGCGGTCAGTGGTTTGGTCAGGGCTAAGACGTTGGACTCAGGTATCAGGGAAGTCGGTGCCCAGTGGCCAAAGTGTCAGTGCCAGATACTTGTACTGTTCTTGTCTTCACTGTATTGCCTGCATACATGGGCAAGTTGACGTTTACTTAGATTTAAGGTTAAAACAAGACACAAGGATTTGTTGCAAAAGTAGTTGCTGAATATATAGCAGTGGTGTATTAACAGAAGCCATTGTGTGCAGTAGTTCACTCACTTATGGTTGGACCGTGACCAGTTTTCATTTAAATGTGCAAAAAACCCCCCAATACGCTTGCACGCAAATGCATTATACCCTCAGGAATGCATTGAGACAGCAAGCTACCTTGTCATTCATACCGACTGCCCTTTCAATTTATTCAGCCACTTCCACAGTCTCGGGCCCGTTAGTCTCTGCTTCAGCTGCCTCTTGCTTCAGGGTACTGCTCTCCTCCTGCTTAGTCTCCTCCTCAGCTGCCGCCTCATCTCCACCTGGTCCCACCTCATGGTTAGTCTCGGCCTCAGGGGCCAATGCATCACCCGCAGCATCTGGTTGCGACGGGTCCGATGCGGGCTCCTCGGCCTTTGGTTCTTCAGCCGGTGGGCTGGGCTCATCAGCTGGCTCTTCAGGAATTGGCTGTGGGCGTAAAATAAGATCAACCATGCTGGAAATTAATTCAAATCACCTACATACACTGGTAAACGTTCCTACTTTAAAACTATCACTAGCTGGCTTGGGAGAGCAAACGGATAAAAGTACAGCACTCAGATAATTCAAATTACAACTTTCTGTGGTACTTTCCTTACCTTCCATCTCTACATACCCCAGTTTGATTCGCCAGCCTGTAATGTTTTAATGGAGTCCTTCACAAGTCCAGTCACAAGTCCCTTCACAATGCCAGTAACAGGATGAACGACAATGGCATGCTTTTGTCACAGTTCGTATGGATAGCTTGTGACTTGGTTCAAAACTGAATCACTTTGTGATGAACTTGGAGAGGCCTTGCAGTGACTTGTGATAGACTCAATGACAACCCTGCTGACCATGATAGGATTTTTTAGGCAACTCCTGATACTATGTTGGTTTTCCTATGTATTATCTTTCTGAGGTTGTACTCAAACTGATATGCCTAAAAATTTGCATCTTCATTCTCTTTAAAAAAAAGGAGTTTCTTGGATATGACTGCATTTGCTGTCGAGAATTCAAACTTGCTTCTAAACCTGCGGCAATTACTACAGAGTAATTTGCAATGCTTGGCTGTCTGTCGAGAAAATTACTGTAACAACTGTACGGGAGTGTTCAGCATACTATGCCATCTCCCATTCCTTCAATGTATGGGAATGCATGTACATGTACCAAGTCTCATTGGTGCATTGGTGTCTTTTTGCCCTGATTCCCATCTAAAATACTACTTTTTCATTAAAAATGTGTACATTTATATGTGTAAAGAATATTTATTGAAAAAAAAGTACATTTAGTTAAAAAGAGAGAGAGATTTCTCCTTCTGTGGTGCAGCCTTGCAATCTCATTCCATTGAGAGTTGTAACTACCTGCTCCTCTGGGGTCTCGTCAGCTGCAACTGGTGCGGCTTCTTCAGTGGGTATTGGCTCCGCCTCCTCACCCTTGGCCTCTTCCTCCTCACCTGCTGCCTCGACCTCCTTGGCCTCTGCCTCGGCAGCTGGTGCCTCCTCCTCAGACGTCTTGGTTTCTGCCTCGGCAGCGTCCGGTGTCGGGGCTGCCTCCACTTCAGGGGCAGTCTCCGCCTTCACCTCAGGTTCTGCTGGTGGTGCCGGCTCCTCCTTGGCCTCTTCCTACACAATTGACAGAAAGACGGGGAAAAAGTTCTCAAGCACTGCTGCAAGTTCATTTTGTTCTACTTATAGACAACAGCTTGGAGACAGCTCAGTAGCCAAATGTATTAGTTGACAGCTCAGAGAATACCTCTAGACAATAAGAAGTGATGGTTAGTTACAGGTTGGCTGGAAGTAAAACTTCAAACAGCTCAAATCTGCCTCACTTGTAGGCTGTTTCATGTAAGAGGCAAATTGCAATTGTGAGCGTTCAAATGTACATGTACAAATAGGGGCCCGTTTGTATTAAAAGGATCTGGATTTTGATCAGAGATCTGTCGTTAGTTCACTGACACCATGAGCCCGATTAACCGATGAATCAAACCAGCCACTGGGATCACTGATCGAGACTCAGATCCGTGTAGAACAAACAAACAGGTCTTAGGGTTTCACCCAAATTATCAGTAATTAAATGGAAAGTGCATTATGCACTAGTTCAGTTCTTGAACGCTGGTCTATATGCTTCCTTACATCCTCTGTCCAGTCTGTGTTGCAGTATCACGGCAAGCATATGCCCTCCCCACCCAAGAAAACATCACAGAACTAATGAGAACCAACAGATGATGAAGTTGTGATTCAGTCAATTGTAAGTCGGATCACAAATACAGGTGCGTCTATGGACTCAAGTCATCAGTTCACCAGGAACGACCAATGCCAACTGACTCAATCCTATTATCCCAGTTCGTCTGTTTCAATGGACTAGACCATTTCCATGTTGCTTACTGTTCCTGTGTGTGGCAAATTAACAGTCTCAAGTCACACTATTGTGACTTGAGACTGGGTGAGTTGTGTCGAGTTAAAATGACTTGGCGAAGTTACTAGACTGGAATTAATATCTCAAACTATTTAATCGTGGCCTTGTCTGTTGTTAGCATGCTGGAAAAAAGCAACTTATACTCAGCAGTTCTCTTTACCATATCTTGATGTACTGTGTAGACAATCCATCAGGCATATTGCTCCCGTAACTAATCACTTGTACATAAGAAAGAATGAGAGTATTCACCAATTGTTTCCCACTTCTGCCAAGCAGAATTCTGCCTTCCTCTTTTCTTTCCATGCCCAAGGAATTCAACCCTTTCAGTTTCTTTTGTCATGCATCTACCAGATGAGTCATATCATTTGGTTATCATCAGTGGCTCTGTATTACTGGCCACTTTGCATTACAAAACCACCTGTCAGCTGACCAAAACATGGAAATGATTCAGGACGATGATAGCGGCATGGTGCAGGTCTTTGGTTGCACAAGTGCAACTGTTCATTCTGATCTACATGAATGAGATATGTCCAATGCATATCAATCATACAGTGCATCAGTCACAGGTACATGTATATATTATACCTAACAGGTCCATCACCCATGCAATGCATTTATTATGCAACCCGTGAAATTTCAACGCTGTGCCTAAATAACCCTATCTTTTGACGGTATTTTGGTGCCACAACCATTTTTTATTGTTATGCTGATTAGAATTTCCATGTTCGTAACAAAACTTGGATGTTGTTCTTGGTAGAAAAGCCCCAATGTTACATTGATTTTTGCACAAAGACTGCTGGAATTTTTTTTTCATTTTTCTGTCCTTAATTTGATTTTCCTTGGTGATTCATGCTTGTATACACGTACATAGCAATAAGCCAATGAATAACCCCATCTCAGAAGTGTCAACAAGCAAATTGGAGCTTCACAATCTGAAAACAAAACACATAAACTGAGCAGTGTCTTCTCTGATTGACTCAACGATCTTGTGGTCCTGGCATTTCATAATGCAAATATGAAACAGCAAGTCTTATCAGGTTCCCCTGCACAACCGGCGTTAGCTCACAAAGTTGCCCAGATACATTTTTAAGCTGTCCTGAGACAATGGGCCACTTCTAAACCCTGAGTGGGTCCAGTAAGTGATTATAATCAAGTGGAAAATAGGCAGGCAAATTCTATCTTAAATTCTCAGGGAAAAAATCTGGCATGGTACAGGTTCTTGAGATCTCAACAAAGTCCAGAAAGATCTTGGTGCCTGATCTATTTCAGTCCATTTTACTGTTGTAATAACCAAATCTACAACTCAACTCTGAACTGGAATCTTCCCAAAGCGGCAAACTTAAAGCAAAACAAACGCAGTAAACAAAAACATAACGGAAAACAAATCAAAGTAAACAAGCCAATACTTCTGCTGCGACTGGTTCCGGTTCACTTGCTGGTTCTTCTGAAGCAGGCTGGGATGTCTCCTCGGGTTTCTCCTCTGGCTGTAATAAACAAAAAATGTTACATACAGTAACGATGAGAAGCGCAACTCAATACACTCATATTGCAAGCAGATCATGCAGCATGCACGGTTAGTAAGTGTGCTTGTTAGGTACAGCTAATGGGATGGCTTAAATGATCAGCATCTGCTCAGAAATTCTGTGCATAAATTCTGCAGCAACTTCTGTAAATTTCTGTCTTACCGTGGAAATGCTATTAAAGTAGTGGACACACATGCATCCCACAATTCAGTTCTACGGTGACAAGTGAAAGCACAGGTTTTGCAAGACGAAAAGAGGCAACTACTCATGATCAATTTTTTTAGTTTAATGAGATCTTTAAGAAATTCAGGCAGACAACTTCATGTACCAATGATTTACAATAATCACAAAAAACACTGCAACAACTGTGCTTAAGGAATCACTTATACTGGACAGTCTTCTGAAAGGGTCTTCTCTGATTCAAATGGCACACTGCCATAATGTCACCTTATTCATCAACATGCAACAAGGATGCGTGATGCATGGGCCTTATGGTTACCAACCCTATCACTGACAGCAGAAAACAATTGGGCCAGGGCCTGCCCACCTGGAATGTGATTGGCATTCCTAATTATCCCATAGACAAGTGCAGTCTCCTTCATTTGTGCTAATCGTCAGCTTTATGTGCTTGTAATGTGTTGAATAACTTGACTTGATTATGGCCTCTCAACTGACTTTCCCCAGAGACATAGTGTACACTGTGCTGAGAATCTTCAGCCACATAATTTCACTTTCTTACAATGCCATCTGATACATAAATTGGGGTATCTTGGCAATAATTCTAGGTCTTCTGTAAAAAAAATTGATAAACTAACATTCTTCATTACTTTTGAGCTATACAACTTTGCAGAGAACTCTGGTCTACTGAGGGCCAGATAACGGTCATACTAGGACAATTGACTCAAGAAACAGAACAATGTGACCCATACCAATGATGCATGTCTCGTGCTCAGGACTTTGACTAGGTCCATCCTCCGTTACATCAAGGTACCGGTAGCAATAATGTAGTTTTTTATTCCTATTTTAATGCAAGCAACTTGTAACTGGGATTGGGCAAGTACCAAATTGCTTGTGACTTGCACCAAACTGATTTGAAATTGTCATGTGCCCGGCAAAAGGTCGTAAATGCGCTTACGCCCTTTTGCACGGGCGCATGATCACAGTAGAGAAAATGTTCCCATGTCCACAGGACTTGGCACATTGTAAAAAGCCTTGACACTATGCAGGTATGCAGGTACATGACTGCGTTATTACATATCTTGAGTTTTCTGAACCATTCAGTTCATCAGTATTAAACTATCGGTATTTTAAATTGTTAAATATTGAGTACATGCATTCACTCACAGCAAGCTCATGACTGAATTCTGCCCTTTCCACACCGTTGTTTCTCGACGGTATCAAAGCACAGTTCAACATCGGCATTATTACACATGCATTATGCACAGTCTTTCCCTGGCATCTTGGTGTTGTTTGAGTATGATTTGCATCAGGGTCTATGCAAAGAAAGACATTACTGTTTGGAACCAAAACCAAGTGTGGGCATTTTTAAAAGTTTGTGAGCCAGCATAAGTTCTCAACTCTGGCAACACCAATGGTAATATGCTCAGGGCAGTTCCAGATCATGCAAGAGTGAACATGCAAATAAAACCGACAACAACCGACCGACCAAACCCTGTGACTCTTCAACAAAGTGCCTTATTGCGTCTGATACATATAGTCAAGTCTTATACACAAGCAGGTTTTGAGGGGGATGTTCGGTGTTGGATATATATATTATACTTGTGTTGTTTCAGACGGTTCCACTGTACTCTCTGCAGACTCCTCACCCGGTGCCTCCTGGGGTTCGGTGATAGTCAGGGGTTCCTGGGCCTGCATCACACATGGCACCATGCCAAGAAACAACATACAAACCAAAACCCATGAGTACTTTCATTCAAACTTGTCTGCTGAATTCTGGGTTTGATCGACACCGAAGTCACTAAATGGAATTGGTCTATAGGCTGACATCGAATGTACGTGTATGTACCTAATTATCTGGCAGCACATCTTTCCTAGTTACCTGTCAGTCATTTCGATTTAATAGTGGCGCCTATTTTCCTGGATACAGTACCTGTCAGCCGGGGTGAACACTAATACCTTTCCACCACAAGTTTCTGGGGTTCCTTACGGAACTCTTATCCAGTACACAGGACCTACCGCTTAGTGTCCCACTTCATGGGATGTGACCCTCATGGCTGCTTGCAGAGGGTGCCCTCGATCCTGCACTGAACTAGCATGTGCCAATCTTGGCAAACAGATCCAGCCAGCAATGTGCGGTATGGCCTCCCTCCAAGAATTACAGACAGTCAATCATGATTCCCTTCTGTAAAGGACCATTTTGCTCTGGACCAATATCCGCAACACCTCGTCAGTAATTTAATATAGTTTATACATTGCAGCCAAACAAGATAAATGTGACTATCCAGCAAAAAAAAAGGCCAGTTCTCTTCAGAGTAAGTACCCAAATGGCCAACCAGCTTGCATCTTTCCTTCAAACAGCCATACCATATAGGCTGCTGTCTACTGAAAAAAAAAAAGTCACGAAATGGTCATCCTGCCAATGCGCAGAAAGTTTGCGGGCACTGAGTCAGCCCCAGACTGCCTATTAATGTAACCACAACAGGTGAAATGTAGGGAAGCCAAAACACAGGCAGCCATACCCCAATTCCCTCTTAAAAAAGCCAGCCAGCAAGCCAGCTTTCCAACAAAATAGCCTTGAAAAAGTGATCCAGTGGCCAAACGAGCAACCATTCCAATCAGTAAAAACAGCCATGCAAATTATCTGATCGTCCGTAGGACAAACTCAACTGAAAAGTTGATTTGAAAATCCCTTCATGAAGTACATGTATTTGTCAATACAGAACATGCATAACACCAAAAGCTAACAAATCATGCATGTACTTGTGCTTGTTCAGGGGCCACCTCCTCCTTCTTAATATCCTCTGACTGAACACCCTCTGTTGAAGATTGTTCTTCAGTTTCCGCAGATTTTTCCTAATCAAGTAAAATGACGTGCATTGGAAAACTAATAAAAATTTGCAGACATGATGACCAAAATTCCACGTATTCCCTCAAATATGAACCCTTATAACCACATTCAACTCTGAAAAGAAAAATACACTGATTAAAAATCAGACATAAAAAAATAACATGAGGATACATAAAAAGCATGCAAAGCAACTGAAAATGTGTACTTGTGCTGGTTCAGGGGGTGCTTGAGCAGGTTCAGGGGCCTCTTGTTGCGTTTGACTTTCTGCTGGTTCAGGGGCCACTGCCTCTTGAGCCTCAGCCTCTGCAGGTCTCTCTTCCTAATAGTGTCAAACATAAACATTCAAGCATGCAGATGTGTCAATCGTGAGGTAAGCAAATAAATAAGTTAGTAAATTGTGAGGTAAGCATATGAATAAGTTAGTAAATTGTGAGGTAAGCATATAAATAAGTTAGTAAATTGTGAGGTAAGCAAATAAATAAGTTAGCCAAAAGGAATCTTGTCCTCAGAGTGTCAAATTGTCAATCTTTCTGTAATCTTAGTTTTTTGTACCAGGGCTTGTGCCTGAATTTTTACTCAAATGGTTAAAGGAAAAAAAAAAATTATGTTGCATTTTCTAAGCCCTCGCACAATTTCAGCCTGCTTGTAATACTACAAGCGAAATAAGTATTTGGGGGTCACGGGTGCTGCACATCAAAATCCTGCAGCAGTGTGAAAGCTGACCATGCAAGCACTATCCAATCAAAAGTACTGAATGACTGAAATTCAACATGCGCGTATTGGCAAAGGGACCAACATGAAACATGCATATGCCTGGTACTGGCGCAGGGACCCAAATGAAACGACAATGAAATTATCGAGAGATTGACTTTTTACTGTTGGAAAACAGCAACTTTCAAACAATGGCCATTTACAGGAGCAGCTTCTTGTATGCATGTATATCTCGCACTAAGTGGGTGGAGTATTAATTTATATTCAGGGTAATTAGGATGCAAATTAGGATGCAAATTAGTTTACATATACAAAATATGAATGCCAGGTCATTAATCAGTACTTGTGCCTCAGCAGGGACCTCCTCTTGTTTACTTTCTACTGGTTCAGGGGCCACCTCTTTACTGTCTGCTGTTTCTGTGATTTGCTCTTCTTTTGTTTCTGCTGGTTCAGTAGGAGCAGGCTCTTCTTTACTTTCTGCTGGTTCAGGGGCCACCTCTTTACTTTCTGCCTGCTCATTGGCCACTTCTGTGGTTTCTGCTGGTTTAGGGGCCTCTGCCTCTTTGTTTTCAGCTGGTTCAGGGGCCACCTCTGTTACAGTTTCTGATTTGGTAGTTTCAACTTCAGACTGCAAAAAAAGTGTTTTTAGGGGGAGAATGCAAAAGCCAAAAAGCTTAGATGGGGCAAAGAAAAGTCAACAGAATACCTCTGAAGCAAAATAAATAGCTGTGATAGGGTCTCGAAGAGGTTGCGGTTGGCATGTGAGAACATGACCATGATTAAAATCAACTCCACTCACTGAAGGGCAATTATCTCACATTCTCAATATCTTGTTTTCTAAACCTGGCCCCTATCTATCAGACATTTCACGTGTAGAATTTCAGACTTCCCCTGAGTGTGTGATTCTTTTTGTGTTTATACTCAAGTTTGTAAACTGGTAATCAAAATTGGGTCTTGCCCAACATTTTCTTCTATGGATTGCTGAAATTATTAGACAACCAGCCAACCAACAGGGAAAGTATGTTGCAAGATTAACCACGATATTACAAGGAAAACGTCAGACATGAACTGGGCCTCCTTATGAAACTGCACTGAAAAAGTTATTGGCAATCACATGAATTTTTGATGACGCATCTTCCATGTGTAGTCAATCTTGGCATTAAGCCACAACTCCTATCGGATTGGGAACATGTGACCATCCTAAACATTCTTTGAGTGGAGAATATTCCATGCCCAGTGACCTGAACCACCCATTGTCTATGAGATCTACACCCCTGTGTTGATTCTAAGGCCTTTGCCAGAACGGTCGTCTGTGCACGTACAATATAATTGAAGCTGTTTTGGAAGAAGTCCCAAGCGTTACAGGTTGATCCCACACAGGACAAGACCCATTTTATTTGGATCAAGTCTGTGAAATTCTTCTGAAAGCTAGAGCACCTCCCCCCCCCTTGCAAGGGCTGCACAGACAGACTGGAAATTTGAAACTGAGGAGGTGACATTTACCGCAGACAGGGCAGGCCAGGGCTTGGGTTTCTCTCAAGTTTTGCCGGAGTGAGTCGGCTGATAAATCAAGAAACCAGTGGGGGAACCATGTGGCTACATTTATTCCCATACCCCATTCATCACTCGATACCTTGGTATTACCTGAATGATGTTAATGGTACTAGCAGCAATTCCAGATGTACTTGAACTTTGTTCATGTGCAAGCATCATTCCCCAAAATGTAAAATTGAAACCCTCTGCATCAACATGATGTGGTTAAAACAATGCATATTTTTCAACAGGTCCTAACAAGCAAAACAAAGAAATCTGCTGGCAAAAAGGGCAGGTGCAATTTCTAATAACTCCCGATATCTGTTGAACATTATGTTCAGCTCAACCGAAACAACAGATCTAAACCTTGATTCCACTGATTGTGCAGGCAGATGCTCAAGTTCAAATGAACAAGTCAACACGACATGTTTATCCACACAATGATTACGAACATCTGTTACAGTATCTCACGATTTCTTCCCTCTTCTTGCAGCAGACAGTGTGTTAAAGGAATCAACGCTTGCATCCCTCGATAATCACATTCAGAGCTGTGCAACACATGAGTATGTACATGCAGTGGCAGGAGAAGTAGAGCACAGTCTGTCACTTTGCCCTGTTTTATCAGATGGCCATATATGGAGACCTTGCTACATGTACAGGCCAGGCCTACCTGAACACCCTCGGCAAGGGAGGGAGCACACATATTTGTGGTTGCAATAAATTCACATTTTTATGCAAAGGTGGACCCCAAATATGTAGTGGCCCTTAAAGGAGTCAATGTGAACATTTAATCTAAGGTTAACTTTTATACAATGGAAACGAAACTAGGACTGAATGGATCTCCACAAAAATGAAAAAACAAACAAGGCAAAAACAAAGAAAATCAGTTGGAACTGGAAAAGAAAAAAGTTGTGTTGTTCAGGATGGGTGCTCTGTCCAGCGCCTGGACAATCGCCATGCTGTACCTTCTGTTCTTCTGTTTGTCTAGACTCCTCCCCAGCCGCTGGTGTGGGTTCTGCAGCAGCAGCTTCCTTACTGTCTTCTGTGCCTTCTTTAGTCTCTGCAGGAGTAGTGGCTGCTGCAGGCTCTTCTGTCTTGGTCTCAGCACCGGTTGGGCTCTCATTCTGAGAAGAAAAACAAGAGAGATATTTACTGGACAGCTCAGCCAAATCAATGAGTCCAATGGAGGTTGCTCATATGCTGCTCATCTCAAACTACATGCAGGCCAACATTTGATTTGCAGTGTGACATCGGAAATTAAAAAATGTCTGGGTGCACTTTTTGTGCAACTTTATATTCTTCAACATATGAAAACTATTTTGCATCATTTTGTTTGTTAAGTGCACTGAAAACATTAAATTGGCCACTTTTTTGGGGGGGGGGACAAGTCGGACAACTGAACGTGCTGTTGTAATGTCATTCAGGGAAGGCAAGGTTTATCTGCTCAAACTGAAAACCCAACTTTGTTAATTGAAAACACTTCTAAGAAATGGTACAGGTAGCTTACTCAAAAAATTAATCATCATTGAAAACGAGCTTACCAGCAAAAAAAAAGAATACCAGCATTTTTTTGTGCACAAAACAAAGAAACAATGAGGTTTTTGCCAAGAATGGCATTCACAGTTTTACTCATGAACATGGAATCTTGCATTTGATGAATATCAAATAAGCATCAAACTACCTTTTTAGATAGCAGAAAACATAATTGAAAACACAATTAACTGAAACATCAGAGTGCATTTTCAGGGGTTGTACTAGTCTTGGTTCAAGACGTCCTTAGCGCGGTGGTGTATTAGATACCGGTACTCATAGCGATGCATCTCTTTCTTTAGTAATTAACTGATCTCAAGAGGGTGCTTTACACCTCTGACCCGACCAGCCATGCACAGGCAGTTCATCTACAAGTCAGGTTTGTGAACATGTTTGGAATGCCCTCTGCTTGTGATTTGGGGTGTGTGAGGGTGAGTGATTTGATGATAGCAGGCATGCCAGGCGGTCCTGCAGTGTGAACACACTGCTAAGGTCTTGTACCCGTAGGAGAAAAAAATGCGTTACCAAGACCCTTTAATGGCATTCAAGGATTGGCCCTACATTAACCTCCGCCTACTATGACACAGCTGAGGGGTAATTTGTGAAGAATTGGCTACTATTGGCTACATACACGTACATTTACATATTTGTGCATGATCACACGTTAACTATAAAAGGATTACAATTATTTACATGTAGTTTAAATTACATACGTATAGGACATTAACTGTTTGAGGGTGTGTTTAAGATATTTCTACACTTTCAGGTATTTTTTACACCCTGAAACCAAAACTCCACATGTATGGCGAAGTAGGAAGTGAGCAATACATTTTCTATCGATTGTCTAAGAGACCATTGAACCAAGTGGAAATGTGATTCATTACGATGTGCAATGTACAGATATACTGGTACATGTATGTTTCACCAACTCATTTGAAGTCAGTCTATGGAAGAAGACTTCACAAAATCTGACTCATAACTTAAGTAACTATGGAGTGACTGGGAAAGCAGAATGAGCAAGTACCCCTACATATGGTGAGCACCTACAGAGGAAACATTTCCAGAAGACCAGAATACTTCAATTAATTATGCCACGATATCTTTTAGTTTGTGAACTGCTGCAGGTAAAACTTGTAGTGATCAACTAAGAAATCAAAGTTTTATGAAAAAAAGCTGTAATTCTGCTAAGATATGGTTAAGACAACAAAGACATCACATGTACATGTAGGAGTTTTCCAATTTTTCACTCAGAATCAAGCAATGTTAAGGCCAGGTTATTAACAAACAGTAAACGCTCAGAGGCATCCGAAAGATTTAGGCTTAAAGAGAAAAAACAAGGACAAGTTTTCTGAAATTAATAGAAGCAACAAGGAAGCACAGCAATTTTATGGAACAAGTTGGTGTCAGAAATTTTTGTTCAGGAATTTGTCCAGATTTTAAGTGGACTGAACATACTGTATATGTCATAGGGTGCACCAATGGGTGTCCCACTAAGACAGCAATGAGGAAAGAGAGGTTGATCCCAGACCAACTGACCACCTCAGGAGATAGGAATCACAGTACGTTTGTGTACAGTTGCATTCCTTCAATATTGATCATTCTGAAAGACATTTTTCCTGTGTGTGTGTGTGTGCTAACCTTACATACCTACATGTACTTGTGTGGACTTGTGAACAAAAAATGTTACACATGTCCACAGGACGTTTCCCCTTCTCTGAAAAAGAGGTTTAGAGGCATTTTCGGGTTGGGGTCGTCGTTGTAAAAGGAAGAGGAATAGTCAAGGAAACCTTGTACAAAAAGCCAGCTGAAAATCATATTCCCAGTTCAAGAAAAACTAGTATTTTCACTGAGTTTTCTCAACTGCATGAAAAGAAAGGAATGTCCACACTAGGTATGTAAGGTTGGGTGTGTGTGTATTTTGCTTTAGGTTTTTCGAACTAACAATCACAATAACACACATGATTAAATCTTTTTGCAAAACAACAAAGAACACAAACATTGCAAACTCAACCTTTGAGTCTTTAAGAAGCAGAATAATGTGGATTATTCCCCCTTTCCAACGGTTATATACATTGCTTGTACACATATATACACGTGTATTCAACTGTGTTTTACAACTGCTTATTAGATTAAACAACATATAATGCCAAATACTGCAGTTAACTTCACAGGCAGTATCATCAACAACATGTACAGGAATGCTTAAAACCTTCCCAAACTTTGAATTGTCAAATCCCTTCACAAAATTGATTCATTTGAGTAGACTACGGGTACTTGAGAGGGATGGTTAATCATGGTTAACGATGGCCCAGCATTCCTAAACAAACATGGTGCACTGGATCAGTTACCAGTATGTGAATAACACAAGTACCAACACAGCAGCTTAACTGATGTTCAAGACTCTCTCAGTAAACCACATGTATTAAAAAATTTAATCTCAGACAACCCCCGACATAAACCCCGGCCTACCACTTTACAGCTTTCAAAAATATCACTAACACACCCACAGTGCCAAAATAAGGAACAATAAACCGTACAGCTGACAGATGATAGCTAAACCATACAGCAAGGATCGCTCCTCTCCCTAACCACTGACAGATCTGCTGCTAGGATGGGTCATCACCCTTTGTTATTCTTGAAGTTTCACTGTGTGTACAGCTGAATTGAACCATAACTGATACACATGGCATACTGAAAAGGCCCCCCCCTGCCAACCCCAATTTGTCCCATCCACAAGAAGTCCCACTTTCTCACAGTTGAGGACTATCGAAGAATTCCACGCGACACAAAACTTACGGGACACGAATCCAAAGGCACAGCTCAGTCTGTTTCTCCATTAATTTGATTTGTCACCCCTTTGCCCCAGGAATGTGTGGGCTTTTTTGCCTCCCTCCTCTCACGACCCCTTGTCATTCTCGCAAAGGTTACGCTCGGACGAGTCTGTACTCCTCCAGTTACTTTCTGCATTTGGCACCTATGGATGTACCCGTGAAGCCAAAGTGAGTCAATCAGCACATGGAGGAAATTTATACCACCTAAACGACCTCCCCTGAACAGAGAGCAAGCTGAATAAAATGTAGACGTGTTTTCTTGATTTGATCGTCGACACAATACTGTGGTCGGACGGCAGTGTCATGTGACTCCATTAATTACCTTACCTGTTTGCCAACTCACGCCATACAAAGAATCTGATTGCAATTTACATTAACCTGATGGCTGTCACACCACAGGAATGCCTAACACTTTCAAGTTGAATTCAAAATCTTCAGTTAGCTGTCTACACTGTGTACAGGCTGGATATAGACCACTTCCCAATCTTCAAGTTCAACAAGCAAAATCCTGCCCAGGCAACAAACTTCATCTGGCCTAACAAGGCTTTCAATACATGTACACAATATCCATAAAGCCATTGCTTTCACGTCTTCCTGCTACAATAGCAGTTTTAAGTTTTCCTTTTACTGATGTGGTGTACTGTACATGTCATTGTAATTGTACATGTATATGCAGTGCTGTCTGAAAGCTTGTGAGAAAAAAACCAAGCTTAAACTTGAGAGGGATTCACACTCTGGATCTCTTACTGATGCATACATTACATACCTGTAACCAATAAGTTACCAGGGTCAGAAAGCCAGTTCATATCCAGTGTACATGTAGAACTGGTTACAGCTGCCAGTGAATTTTGATAGAACTGACAGCGCTGGAATTTATGCGACTACCAGGTACATGTAAATGCTCCAGGTACATCTATTTCTGTGTCTGATGCATTCAATGTTTCGAATGAATGCTGCGATTTCTTACCTACTGCACCACCCACTGGAATTGAAATAAAGAGGTGCAATACCGGTACATGCACCTAGCCCCTCCGATAAAAAAAAGTCGATAATTTTGGGGTTATAGACAAATCCAGGTATCTCCTTGTTTCCCCTAAAGGGGAGAGGGGGTATTTTTGTAATATTACTTTCTGCATTTCATTTGCAAGTACTGGTACATACCTGTATGCAGAAAGTACAAGTTGTGCAGGTAACTTCATCTAATTAATCACAAAAACAAATTTAAACAGATGGACAAGTATGTACATCTAAAAGGCAACATGTACAGATGTGACAAGTGTTTTTCAGTTTTTGTACTTGTGCACCAAATATACATTTAATGCATCAGGAAATACACTGACAAGTAAACAAGTACCCATGCTGTAAGTTACTACAATTTGTCATAAGTACATGTACATGTAGTCCTGAAGTCCAAAGAACAATGATTTAAAGAAACCTGCATCCCCTGGTGTACAAGTCAGCTGTAAGCAACACACCCAGCAGAAATGATATGATGATCGTAATTACCGCAAGCCTCCCACAACTTACATCGCCCTGTTCTTTGTGCTTGACTTTTGCCTCCAATATCTCCACCCGCCGATTCAAGGTGCCAATCGCCGCCCAAATGGCATTCAAGGTATCCTGCACTTGTGCTTCTGTTGGCATGGTGACAACACAGTTGCACGTAGAGTGTGTGGAGCCTTCTTCCTGGCAATGGCAAGAGCAAGCGTATCCCAAAATACTACCAGTAAAAACTACCGACGAAAGAGTTGAGTTGTTTTGTT